GTGTGTATGGTTATGACATAGACACACTGAAAGGATCGAACTGGATAAATGACCGCATAATAGATGCATTTCTTGCCTCCAGGGTGATCATGACCAAAGAGCTAGGTCACGATGGAACAATTTTCCCATTCAGTTGCCTCTTCATTCAGACCCTCATGTGTCAAAACTTGTCAGTGAAAGCCCTGTTTGAAATTTGGAGTGCTAAAGAAAGTTGTTTGGATTATTCCAGTAAATGACAGTGGAGTCCACTGGATACTGGTAGTAATCATTTTTAAAAGGAAGACCATGCTCTACCTAGATTCCAACCATGGATTGAACCACTCTGTGATTGATGCAATAAAATCCTTCTTAGCATGTCTGTATAAGATGGATTCAGACTGTCCCTATAGTTTTGCGGACTGGTCATTTTTTTGCACCAACTGATATAACCAGGCAAGGTAATTCCAGTGACTGCGGTCCTTTCGCATGTACCATTGCACATCTGATTGCTTCTGCTGCCCAATTACAGTACACACAAAAGGATATGACCACCATTAGACCCTGGATTGCAAAAGAAATAATACATTACACTGGGAAAACCAATCTTGAAGGACGAGAAAAATATATTCCAATTGAAATTGCCACTCCTCCTCCCACAAAGAGACAAAGCTTGAAAGAGAGTCACATTACTGGGTCTAGATCATGCCCAGAGGGATGGAAGGATACACTAACCTATTGCTTAGATCTTTTACCTACCTTGTTTGAAGGCAGCTGGTCACTATGTTTTTTGAAGGAAGGGTTCAGGAAGCCCAGTGGTGAGTGTGACCAATCTATGGTTTACTGTGAAGGAAGCTGCAAGGACTGCTTTTGCATAGGCATTGATTCAAAAGATCTTCCAGAGGTTTTTGTGTGTCCAGATTGTCAATCCACTGTGGCCAAAGAGATTTTGAAAATGCGAACTGTCATATTCCACAGGTTGGTATAATACAGCAAAATCTAAACACATAGTTTTCATCATCATGGCAGGGATGGTCCTTTTCCATAGAATTCTTATTCATGGAGTTGGTTTTTATATCCTGCTTTTCTCTACCTTTAAGGAGTCTCAAAGTGGCTAAAAACCTCCTTTCCCTTCCACCCCCACAACAGATACCTTGTGAGGTAGGTCAGGCTGAGAGAGTTCAGAAAGAAGTGTGACAGGTCCAAGGTCACCCAGCAGACTGCATGTGGAGGAGCGGGGAAGCGAACCTGGCTCTCCAGATTACGAGTCCACCACTCTTAACCACTACACCACGCTAGCTCAAAGACGAATAGATGCCAGCTACTGTATACATAACCTTAAACTTAAAAAATAGCAACAATATCTACCTAATGCAGGCATAGGCAAACTCGGCCCTCCAGATGTTTTGGGACTACAACTCCAAAGATCATTAGTTAACAGGACCTGTGGTCAGGGATGATGGGAATTGTGGTCCCAAAACATCTGGAGGGCCGAGTTTGCCTATGCCTGATCTAATGGAACAGTGCAGTGTACTAGCTAGTGTCATAGAACCATAAAATCATAGAATCATAGAGCTGTAAGAGACCACAAGGGCCATCTAGTCCAACCCCCTGCCATGCTGGAACACATAAGCAAAGGACTCCTGACATGGCCAGCCCCACTCACCTCACAGAGTGTTTGTTGTGGGGGAGGAAGGGAAAGGAGATTGTTAGCCACTTTGAGACTCCTAAAGGGGAGTGAAAGGTGGGATATCAAGTCCAAACTCTTCTTCCAAACTCTTTATAATTGTGACATTTCCCAAAAATATGCTGGGACACAACCAAGTAATGTTATAGATTTAAATGAATCATAGAATCATAGAATCATAGAGTTGGAAGAGACCACAAGGGCCATTGAGTCCAACCCCCTGGCAAGCAGGAAACACCATCAGAGCACTCCTGACATATGGTTGTCAAGCCTCTGCTTAAAGACCTCCAAAGAAGGAGACTCCACCACACTCCTTGGCAGCAAATTCCACTGTCGAACAGCTCTTACTGTCAGGAAGTTCTTCCTAATGTTTAGGTGGAATCTTATTTCTTGTAGTTTGGATCCATTGCTCCGTGTCCGCTTCTCTGGAGCAGCAGAAAACAACCTTTCTTCATGGAAGGGCCAAGTTTATTCTGCACTTTAAAGGAATGGGGTATGGAAGTGCTTAACTGATTCTTGATCAGGGACAAAACCTGGGGGGAAGTATCTTCAGTCCCTGTAGCTAACAGCAGGCACACCACCATTTTGTTTGGAATGTAGAGCCTGTTCTTCTCATAAGCAACCAAGCGGAGCCCCTGAGGTGCTGGACGCACCACTAGAACTGGCGGCATGGTGTAAGTACCAAGTAGAGGTCAGGAGAAGGATGTGTTTCTTTTGGAGTCCCCACTGGGGAGAAAGGGGACTATAAATGAAGTGAGGGCCTCACAGACCTACACTGCAGCCAGTTGGGCTGAGGGAAGCCCACTGAGGTGCTGGCATGATTCTACTGCAGTTTTGCTCCCTCCCTGCATGTATAGCTAAGAAAAAACATTGTCTCACCTCCCCACACATTTTTTGATTGCCAGCACACCAACATCTTCACAGGTAGATGGGGGGCAGATTTGGTTAGCCCCCACAGGATCATCTTTTCTTTAGTTACCTCCACTCTGATGCTACCGTGGCTGTCTCATGTCAATGTTTGAGTCCACTTGAGTCACCCAAATGCAGATGGTTTTGGGGAAACACCTGCATCATCTTGTGACCTAAGCATGTTGCAGTTGGCTTTTCCAGTCCAGTTTTGGGGAAGAGTGCAGTCTAAGTTGTTGCAGGAATTTATGCATAGGTTGGGGGTTGCCCCTCCAGCAGATATCATGCACATGCAGCCCACTACCAAAATCAGCACAATCACTTTTGACTTTTGTGACTTGTCCCCACAAAACACTTCCTCAAAGTTTCTTCCTATCTATTCAAAGGGCCTCTGCTGCACAATACCAAATGTAACAATTCACTGATAAATGTATCTATGTACTGGCTCACTGGGAAAACTTCAGAAATTCATATAGACATGTGAGCTCAGCTACTCAGCAGCCCCTCTGCCTGGCAACCTGAGTGCCAGACAGGTAGCCCTTCCAGAAATAACAAATCCAGATGAAGAGAAAAGGGTGTGATTAACTTGGCTGGGAAACAGGGAAATGCAAATATCTCTTTTGCTTCACTTGATGGGTGTTTGGTGGAGGGCAAGGAGAACCATGGCGAAGGGTCCAAGATGCTTAGATTACTGCCACCAGACCCCCCTTCATGATGTAACCGTGATGTAGTTTGAGGGTAGTTGGGTAACATGGGGATTAGCAGCTAATAAAGTTTGGGGGCTCTTTTGTTCGGGGCTTCCATCTTGTTCCACCTTGTGGCAGGTGGGAGTCCTGTTGCGACAGTCTACAATAAAGACCAAGCTTACTGGCTGCTGTTTTGCTCTGGTATTCCTGGCTAGTATCCTTGTTTTTTGTCCAAGGGAGCCCTCAGATTTCTCCGTTAACAAAGTGAAGTATCTGTTCGTCCCACAGTGTATCTTAGTGCAATAATAGCAGCCTGAAGAGTTTGGACTTGATATCCCACCTTTCACTCCCTTTAAGGAGTCTCAAAGCGGCTAACCATCTCCTTTCCCTTCCTCCCCACAACAGGCACCCTGTGAGGTGAGTGGGGCTGAGAGACTTCAAGAGAAGTGTGACTAGCCCAAGGTAACCCAGCAGATGCATGTGGAGGAGCGGGGAAGAGATCCGGGTTCACCAGATTATGAGTCCACCCACTGGCAGAGGAAGGGGTGTGGAGTGAACCCACCACACCAGGCACCACCATTCTGTTGAGGTGCCATCGCGGCCACCCCCGGACATGTGCCACGCTCCCTTGGCGCACCAGGCGCCACGTCCCCACTGGCGGCACACCACGTCTCCAGGATGCTCGCCACGCCCCCGGGATGCACACCACACCCCCACGTGCGGCGCACCACGCCCTCGGGACGCACTCCATGCCTCCTGGGATGCGCGCAAGCCACGCCCTCACCTGCTTTCCGCCCCCAGTGCCAGAGCTTGCAGCTTTGCCACTGAGTCCACCGCTCATAACCACCACACCACACCTGAAGTGCCTTTTCCAGTTGTCAAAAGTGCCCTGTTGTTATCATTTTTGAAACATTAGTGTTATGGTAGCACCTAAAGCCTGAAATATCTTCCTAAAAGATCAGACAAATGTTTAGGGAAAGTTGTTATGAAAGGAGGAATGAAGAATGTAAGTTCAGAATATAATTCTCTGAATTTTGCTTTCAGGTCTCCATATGATGAGCATGTGGACAGACAGAGGAGAAGGCTGCATGAGTTAATTGCAGGATGACCTCTGCAAAAGAAAGTTGTGCATATTTGATCTTTGTGACTGTTAAGTAAATGTTTAAATTATAGTTTTTTAATATCGAACCCAAGCTCTGATTTTCTCAGTTCTCCCTTCACCTGCTAGTTCTAACCATTTCGCCTTTTTCTTGGCACAAATGTATATAAAATTATACAGGAAAATGATAAATGATCAGCTTTAATGCAGTGTCTCTGTCTCTACCTTTCTGTGCAATTGCTCAGAAATGTCACTAAGAAAGCTCTATATATTGGCGTGGTTTCTTTTATTGGAATAATTTCCCAAAGTTAATTTTAAACGGGTACATAAGACCAGTGGGCCAGAATTTTTGTCCCAATAATATTTTTTTCCTGTGGCCATCACCAAATCTTCATGCAGGTAACTCCACAGTTTCATCTCTCATGGAATAAAGTGGTTCTTCCTTTCGCTGGGTGCCCCTGAGGTCAGTATTTTGGGAGAGTGACGAAAAGTTCTCTCTAACCACTTTATCTTATTTAATTTTCTAACCTCTGTCATGTCTGCTACCCTCTTATAGACCTTTTACAGACTGAACATTTCCAAACTCTTCAGCCTTTTCTCAAAGGAAAAGCACTGTACCCCCTTAATCATTTCGTTGCCCAAGTCTAGATGTAAGAGCAATCTGGTTGCCACACCAATCACCCTGTTGATCACCAGGATTGATTTGGCTGATCAGACTGGCAAGGAATGTGTCTGCCATCCCCATCACTGTGCGTCCCCCACAAAGCCACACACTCCATGGAAGAGAATTACCATCCCACACAGAGCGAGAACATCCTCTTCTGCACTTTTCCCAGCTATGCCATATTCGTTTTAGAGATATGGCACCCAAAACTGTACACAGTGTTCCAAATGGGACCACACTATAGAACTGTACAGGGACATTACAATATTGACCATTTCATTTTCAGTTGCTTTTTCAATAGTCTCCAGCACTAATTCCAGATCACAAAATGAATGAAATAATAGCGGTTCTGATCCTTGTGGGACCCAACTGCTCACTTTCTTTAACTTTTAACATGGCCTTGGCCATTGGAAAAGCCCCAGCACCCAGGAGATCATCTGAAAGCCCAAGTTGCCCCAACTTTGTGCAAAAAAGTTGTAGCCCTGGAGAAGGGAAGGAAAGGGGTCTGACAAAACTTTGCTAAGTAAAGTATATTTGTCTGCTGAAAAACAAATGTTTAGCCAGCATAAAAGAAAACTCGTCCAGGCAACTGTCTCTAGCTTATGTTGGCCTCCCTCTAGACACAAGGCTGTGTAAGGTACATAGCATGGGACAGTGAAAATCTTCAATAGAAAGGCTGCCTGCACTTGTTCCACTGACTGGATAAACCCTGACATCCAGATTGAAATTCCATAGAGCAGTTTGGCTCTAACTTTAGCATTAAAAACCTTGAGGGCAGAAGGGATGTGTTGGTTACCTCTTGTTGCAAAAAAGCGCAATATGGCCTGCATAGACAGCTTGCTGGCATTTACCGCCACTGCGCAGTGCACCAGAGCCTGTGATAGAAAGTGATCCCCAAACAGTTGAATCTGAATACCTGCTGGATGTGTTTCCCACCAAAAATCCAACTATATATCTTACAAGAATTTCCGAAGACCTTTATTTTGCTTTTATTGAAGTTCATGCTCATTTTCATGCTAGACAAATAGTCAATACAGGCAATTAGCAAACGCTTTAAGCCAATTCTAGTTCGTGAGAGCAGAATCATATCATCTGCATATAGAAGAATGGTAATTTTTATGCATTTAGTTTACGGCTGTGAGCATCCACCAGTTTTAGTAACGGGGGCGAGGTCATTTAAGCACAGTGGACCAACACCAGCTGATGGCATGGCTCCCCAAATCAACACTTCACACCGAATTTCAAGCATCTGGCATTGGAAACTTCACACTGGACTTCAAGCATCTGGCAATGTGTGCCTCCCCATTCTTCCTCCAGATTCTGGGTCCTTGGTTTCCAAATGAGATGGAAAAGTTGCTCCTATAAGAAAAGAGGACTTGGGACCACTGAGCAACAGACCAGTTCTTTTTTTTTCTTTAGCCCAGGCAAGACGCTTCTGACGTCGTTTCTTGTTCAGGAGCGGCTTGACAAGAGGAATACGACATTTGAAGCCCATCTGCAGGATCCGTCTGTGTGTGGTGGCTCTTGATGCACCAACTCCAGCCTCAGTCCACTCCTTGGGAAACTCCCCAACACGTCTGAATGGTCTTTTCCTGACAATCCTCTCCAGGCTGCGGTCATCCCTCCTGCTTGTGCACCTTTTTCTTCCACACTTTTCCCTCCCACATAACTTTCCATTAATGTGCTTTGATACAGCACTTTGGGAACAAAGTTTGGGAACTTCTTCTGCAATTACCGTTTGAGGCTTTTCCCTCCTTATGGAGGGTCTCAATGATGGCTTTCTGCACAACTGTCAGGTCAGCAGCCTTCCCCATGATTGTGCTTCCTACTGAACCCATTGCAGGTGTTATGGATTGAATAGCTACTGCACCTTTTCACAATATTCTAATTTTCTGAGATTGTTAATTTGGGGTTTTATCAGCTGTATCCCATAATCATCACAATTCTAACAAATAAAGGTTTGACATATCTCACTTTGTATGTCATGAGTCTATCTCATATATTAGTTTCACCTTTTAAGTTGAATTACTGAAATAAATTAACTTTTCCATGATATTCTAATTTTCCAAGTTTCACCTGTACGTATTTTGTTCCCTATGGCAAGGAGTGCTAGAATGGGAAGCATCCATGTAATCCACCTTGTCTTAGACACACACCAGTGACGCATCAGCGGAGCACTTTGCTTCATTAAGTTCTTAAGGGGGAGAGAGAGAGAGAGAGAGGTTGCATTGGAAGTAAGCAGGGACACCGCAGGGGCTTGAACCCCGTCCTGGAAACCAGGAGCGCCAACCACTAGCGTCTTTTGCTTTTTTTTGGCCAATGCAACAAGGTGATAAGCAAAACCTGAGAGAACATTCTATATTGAGTGTTCTCTCAGGAAAAAAAAACCCCTTAAGAATTATGAAGTTGCAGACAGAACAAATCAAGGTTTTATCCCTTGCCATTAGCAAAGGATATTCACCTAGATGTGTTTAAGTCACAGAGTGCCCTGTTGACGGCCATTAATTTGCAGGGCAGAACAGAGAGACAGTTCCAGTCTTTAAACTCTGCCTTTATGCTCACCTTTTTGTTTGTCCCTCCGAAGTGTGAATTCATGGGCCTGGAAGTTCCTTCTGCTGGTCTGTGAAAAGCAATCTGGACTCATTAGTTTGTCCCCGGCCCTTTCCCACCAATTCCAGAGAAATGTTTTTGGAACACAGCTGTTCTTACTGACCTGACTTCTGCAAGAAGAGCTGGCTTCACCTGAGTGTGGTGGGCTCTGGGACAGAACTGTGAACAGTTCAAGCAGGGGGAAATGGAGAAGCCAGCAGAAAAGTATTGTACTGAAAAAGGTCACTGAATTGTGAAGTGTGAAGTTCACTTGCCGTTAAGTTTCCTGAAGGCTTGCAAAATTCTATTTCTTGTGTCACTGAGATGCACCTGGAAGAGACTAGGGTCTTCAGCAGCCCTCCCCTCCAGACACAGGAGCAAAAACAGCCGGTTACCTAAAGCAGGCAGTCAAGACGCAGGTGTCTCTCAATCCTGCACTGCAGATGTTCACTTGATGAATCAAGAGCTCTGACCCTGCCTCTTACTTGTCAATGGAGCAGATCTGCTTCCGGCACAGGTAGCTCTGTGAAGTCTGTAAAAATAAGAGCTGGAACAAAACAAGGCTGGCTGTCCCACCCAAAGATGTACCTTTATTGTGTGGTGATGGCACAGGAAAGGGCCTCCCCTGCAGTGGTGTCCCGAGAAGAGAAGTCCCTCCAGGTAGAAGCACGCAGAGCGACTGCATCAGGCTTTCGAGTTCGCAGCTCTTCTGAAACAGGGATTGAATAACCAACATTGCTCAGTACAAGCTCTTTGGAATATTTAGTTTGCATATTTGATGGATGATTCCGTTTAGAGCCTACCTTTTCTCCAACAGGCTCAGGGTGCTTGAATGGTCCCCCTCACTGTGACCTGAAAGAATCTTTGTACAAAGAGTTGCATGCACAACAGAGATTTTCCCCTCAGCCAAGCACAAGATACTCACCTAGTTGACCTTCAGCCAGAAGACACACAACTGTATTGCTGCTATAATTACTATAGAGCATTTAGAGATCACTTGTTATAATAATAATAATAATAATAATTTATTATTTGTACCCCGCCCATCTGGCTGGGTTTCCCCAGCCACTCTGGGCGGCTTCCATAGAAACAAAAAATACAGTAAAATATCACAGATTAAAAGCTTCCCTGAACAGTTATTTAGTTATTAGTGCCACCTCTGTTACTTCAAATGTTTTATTAACAGAAGCTACAATTGCAGTTGAAGGTAACCAAGTGAGAGGTTATAGGCAAAGGAAGCAGTTCACTACAGCAGGTTTTAAAATATATTACCTTTAGAACAGAAGTACTGGCGAGGATCTAAAATTTTGTATTTGCTGGAACCCCAGCAACTATCAACCCTATCGTGCAAGTTTTCACCAAAAAGTCAGCAATAGAATTGGGGTCAAATTAAATTTTGAATAAAGTCTCAGCATTTTGGATTTATACACATCTGAAGGAACAAAAACTCAACAATATTTTGGTGACCCTCTTCTGCAGTTGCCCAGTAAGTACAATTCGTTTGGCTTCATATGCCAAATGCCACCACTTTTAAGCAGCTGCTCAAGAGGGTTTGTTATTCTACTACTTGGAAGCCACAATATACATAAAATTAAGTTCTACCCATTAGCAAAGGAGCTTATCTATAGTCCCCAAGAAGCTATCACAAAATGGCTGCAAAGCATTTTTGTCAACAAGGCAACCTGAGCTAAAATGACATTAAATGGAACTATGTTGTCTTCTGCGCCTCTGCTTTGCTCTTTCTCACATGCACAGCTTTCTTTCCCCCTGGATCCCCCTGGATCTCCCTACCCTTCTCACTTCTAAGTCTTACCTGTCTTAAAATCTTACCCGTCTTGGTTTTTCCAACTTCTGAAGCGAGGTTCTGGAGCGAGTGGTCACAGACCAGATCCAGGGGCCCTTGGAAGAAGCTGCTTTTCTGGATCCATTTCAATCAGGGTTTAGGCCTTGGTCGCCCTGCACCTCTGTCGAGAGACAAGGGAAGGCGCTCCGTGACCCCCAGTGCCGTCCATCAGCTTCGGCTGGTGGCTCAGTTGTGCCCCTCTCCGGACACGGATAGCCTGACTCCTGTTGTCTCTGCTCTGGGAACCCGTTCTTGGGTCGTTCTTTTTGTTTTGATTTGGTGTTTTTGATATTTTATGTGAGCCGCCCTTAGACCTTCGGGTATAGGGCGGTATAGAAATTCAATAAATAATAACAGTAATGATAATATTCACTTGGGCAACAGAAATGCCAAACTTCTTTTTATGAAATGGCTTCACCAGTTGCCTTTTAAAAGAAAAGCCTTCTATTTTCTGCAATTACAGTGGTGCCTCGCAAGATGAAAAGAATCCGTTCCGCGAGTCTCTTCGTCTTGCGGGTTTTTCGTCTTGCGAAGCAAGCCCATTAGAGGTTTAGCGGCTTAGCGCTACAGTATTAGCGGCTTAGCCGGCTTAAAGATCAGCTGATAAGCGGCTTAGCATCAGCTGTTAAGCAGCTTAAAGATCAGCTGATAAGCGGCTTAGCATCAGCTGTTAAGCGGCTTAAAGATCAGCTGATAAGCGGTTTAGCCATCAGCTGATAAGCGGCTTAGCATCAGCTGTTAAGCGGCTTAAAGATCAGCTGATAAGCAGCTTAGCCATCAGCTGATAAGCGGTTTAGCGGCTTGGGAAAAAGGGGGGGGGGGAGAAAAAAACCCCGCAGGAACTCGCAAGACATTTTCGTCTTGCGAAGCAAGCACATAGGAAATTCGATTTGCGAAGCACCTCCAAAACGGAAAACCCTTTCGTCTAGCGGGTTTTCCGTCTTGCGAGGCATTCGTCTTGCGGGGCACCACTGTATTCTTCACTCGGCTTGAAGCAGGCTTCATATCCACCTACCCTTTCCTCTGCTCCTTTGTACATCCAAAGACTTGTTGGTTGAAAGGGAAATAAACTTGATTTCGCCCCTTCATGTGTTCCTTCATGTGTCTTTGTTTTCCCTTGGCTTTTCTAGTCATCAGGTGTATCTTCTTTTCTTGATTCTCTTTAAAATCTTCATCTTGGTGTTTTCTTGAGTTTTCAGTTTAAATTTGGCTTGGCTAAGCTTTCTTTTAGGGGCTTTCTCAAAGTCCAGCATCTGTCCACAATTTACTCTCCCTGTTCTATAATGATTGCCTCTCCTAACACTTTTTAGGCAGTTACTGAATTAGGTATCTATCTATCTATCTATCTATCTATCTATCTATCTATCTACAAGCAACATTGAAAATTGTCAACTATGGAGATCACAAGTGAACATTTGTTGTATCTCTTTTTAAAGTTGTAAAGAACAACTTCAGCTCTGACCAGTGAGAGGGCTAAAACCAGTATTATAGCCAGGGACAGTCTCACTCACTAGACTCTGGCTCGCTCCTTCCACCACCTGTCAGTCATAAGGACACATAAAATAGTCCCTTGGCGCATTAATACAGTGGATAAACATGGGTTTGTTTTCAACATGGGATCACTGCGCATGGATGAGAAATTAGTGCCGGCCCCACTCTTTAATAACAGGGTTGCTGGGGGGCCATCTTGAATAAAATATGGGGGGCGGGTGGGCGGTAAGCCCTGCCCTACATAGTCACACGCCACGCCACACACAATTAAATGGTGATGGCCATCAACAGTTTGGGGGGGTTCACAGCCCCCTTAAATATTTTTTCGGGGGTGCGGGCTTAAGAGGAGTTAGCTCCTAAACTGGGTATGTGTCATTCCTGGATCAATGTCTTTGTTTGCTTGGCTATTTGTAGAATGTGCTGTGCCTTTTAATGACATTTTCCCCAAGTATCGCACTGATCTGAACATTAAAGATTTTGGTAGACACTGCAGCCTGAGTTTGAATTCTTCTTTGAGTGACAGCAGGAAACTCTCCTCCACAGGGTGCCTTTTTGGAGATTCTCCTTGGGGGAGGGGCCCCAGGAGCCACAAAATGGATAGACTATCACTTTAAGAAAATGCTTTAAGAAAATGCTAAGAAATTGTTAACGCTATCTACCTCTATCTATATCTATCTATCTATCTATCTATCTATCTATCTATCTACAAGCAACATTGAAAATTGCCAACTATGGAGATCACAAGGGAAAATTTCTTGTATCTCTTTTTAAAGTTGTAAACTTCAGCTCTGACCAGTGAGAGGGCTAAAACCAGTATTATTGCCAGGGAAAGTCAGCAGCGGAGGATGCCGCTTGGGCGCCTGGGGAGAAAACTGCTTATGGGGCAGGGCAAGGGCGGGGTGAGGCATCCATAGGGGCAGGGCGCACCGTGGGGCCTCCCGAGTCTGCCTGCTTCCTCCCACTCAGTCGCCCTTCAGCTGGGGGGGAGGCAGTGGGTGGACCGTTTGGGCAGCGCAGAGCCTTGGTCCCACTGCAGGCCCCGTGGGGAGTGCCGCCTGGCATTTTGTCACCCCCCTCAGTGGGGACACCCAGGGCGGCCACACACATACCGCACCCCCCTTACTCCGCCCCTGGTTGCAGGTGGTGTGGCTGGGGGCCCCCCCAGTCAAGTACAGTGGTACCTTGGGTTAAGAACTTAATGCGTTCTGGAGCTCCATTCTTAACATCAAACTGTTCTTAACCTGAAGCACCACTTTAGCTCATAGGGCCTCCCACTGCCGCTGTGCCACCGCTGCACGATTTCTGATCTCATCCTGAGGTAAAGTTCTTAACCCGAGGTAATATTTCTGGGTTAGCGGAGTCTGTAACCTGAAGCGTATGCAACCTGAAGCATATGTAACCCGAGGTACCACTGTAAATAAAAATATTTAACTGACCAATTGTGTCACAGGTGACTCAATTCTGCCTCCCACCGGCTGCTGTTTGTCCTCTTTTTCCAGGACACATCCTCTTTTTCAGGGGTAACATTTTTAAAATTTGCCATAATGTCTCTGGCTATACTTTCTGGATGAGTCCCAGACAAGACTGGTGAGTGAAGACTTGCTTTCCCCATCTTTTCTCTTCTCCTGCCCCCTCCCCCAGCAATATATCACAGCTTCTATAGCCTACATATAGTAGGAGTATTTAAAATGAGAATTGTCTTGGCGTCCTCTTTTTTGCTCTTTGAAATATGGCAACCCTAACTTGCCCCCCCTAAAATAAATCCTGGCTACACCCATGGCAGGTGGTCATAGCAACAGTGCCAATTTGTTGATATAATCAAGGAACAATTACCATGTACTTAGAAATCTATCCTTTTTACCCTGCCCATTTATCATCACGCTGCTGTGTTGATTCAAACTCCCAGATTGTGCCATGTCCCATACCTGGGTAAAACCAAGTTCGTAAAGTGAGGGCCTCCCCCCATTACCCACCTGACAGTTACCGGTATTTCCATTCTGGCAGTGGCTGTCAAAAGAGACCATGGTCAAAGAAGGAATATTGGGGTTGAAATCCACCCCCCCCCAAAGAACCAAAAAATGCAAGCCATGGATCCCTGTTTAGTTTATAACCAATTATGTTGATGTCAGGATTTGTTTGTTTGTTTGTTTGTTTTGCCAAAATGGTACACAAATGTTTTTGCACTATTTTTTCGCTACCAGGATGGGGCTTTACAAACCATTGGAACAATGGAGAGACAAGTAACCAATTATTTTTGTTTCCTCTTCTTGGCAGGCCTATTCACACAACATGTGCATGGTTGGTCCTTAATGCAGGAACCAGGAAGCTGTGACCCTCCAGACGCTGGAAGCCATTGGAAGCATGGTAAAAGTCCAGTCTGTGGTGTCCATTCACAGGTGAAACTTATTGCTGGGCATTGCAGTGATCTGGTGATGAATATTTGTGTGTGTACCAGCCCTGAAAGCAAACTACAAAACTAAGTACATTTTTCTGCACTAGTTATTTCTGAAACGGTCTTCAAGGACCGCCCCACTTACAGTGCATGGCAGTAATCCCACTCTGGAGGTTACCAGAGCATGGGTAACTGGGCAAGACGATCCTGGTTCAGGAACAGCAATGGCTGGCAAGAAGCGCTCTTGGGTCTTTTTACACAAGCACAAACCCAGGTTTCAGCAGGTGTGCCTTCAAGAGGGAGCTGCAAGCTACAAGTGTAACTTACAACAAATGCCAAACAGAAATCCAACAGGTGAAGCTTTCACCAGAATGCAAAGGTGGTGACCGAGGTGGGGAAGTTTTGCTTACTGTTTAACAAGTAGGAGCCATGCCAGAAAGAAAAAATGAAAGTAAATCTTGCTATATAAATGGGACTTCAAGGCCACACCATCCGTTTTGGCTCCTCTGCCACTTGGCCCCCTCCTCTTCCTCACTGCCAGCTATTAGCTGCTTTCCCCCTGGTGGCAAGAGAGACAGAGAGACGCAGCAACAGGGATGGGGAACCTGTGTCTCTCCAGGTGCTGCAAAGACTACAACTCCCATTAGCCCTGACCCTCGGCCATGCTGGATGGGGCTGAAGAGAACTGGAGTCCAGCAACACCTGGAGAAACACTATGATTAAGATTTTGCTTGTGTTTGTGTAATTGATTAATCAATATGGGGAGCTGGCTCAAATATATTTAATCAGTTAACACATACAGACTAAAAGTAAAGCACACTGGACAATTTATTAAAGCAACAGATTCTATGTACATTGTCTTATATCAAGGCAGTCCCAGGCTTGCCTGCTTCTCAGCACACAAAATCTATCAATGTCCAAGAGTATGTCCAGAACACAAAGCGACATCTTGGCTCTAAGGATGGCATGTTCAGCGCCTCCTCTGACATCAGTAGCCCATGGGCAAGTCCAGAGTCCAGCCAAGATTATTGGGAAGCTTCCTGTTGCAACCATCTGTCAAGCCACAGGAGGCCCAAAGAGGTCCATCGTTTCCACCACCAAGCAGAGATGCTCCAGGAAGGAGCTGATGGACACACGCAGAATCCGGGCTTCATCCGCTCTCCATCGACTGCAAAAAAATAATATATATATATATATTGTGCAGACTGGAACATAAAATGTCAACACTTGCACTACACTTAAGAGTCCAATGAACATGCCACTCCTTCCGCCAATATCCTCATTCTATTCCAGTCCTTGTGCTTCCCTTTTACTCTTGGGCAGACACTGGGCACCTGGTCCAATACATTTGGATGCCAGAAAATATACTGTTTCACTTAATTATTATTATAGCACTACCTGAATGCAAAGTACAGAACAGAGAGGAAGGGAGGAATTATTCTTATTATCCTCCTCCTCCATATAGTATCGTCAGCTTGTATAGGACTTTACAGAAAATACGAGGGGATAGATCTCTGCCCTGACAGGCTTACAATTTAAAATTTGGCACAACAGAGAAAGGAAAGGGACGTGGGGTCAGGCGAAGGAGGCGATGATTCGACTGACAAGTGCTGAGGTTTAGTTAGAGGCCTGGCTGCTGTCTCTAACTAAATCTCCTGCTGGACGGCTGCGTTGACCCTGGACTTAATGAAGCACAGTGGACCAACACCAGCTGATGACATGGCTCCCCAAACCAACACAGACTGTGGAAACTTCACAGTGGACTTCATTCTTCCATTCTCCCATTCTTCCTCCAGACTCTGGGTCCTTGGTTTCCAAATGAGATGCAAAAGCTGCTCTCATCAGAAAAGAGATTTGGGTAGCCATGTCATCAGCTGGTGTTGGTCCACTGTGCTTCATTAAGCCCAGGGTCAACACAGCCGTCTACCAGGAGATTTTGGAGCACTTCATGCTTCCTTCCGCAGACGAACTTTATGGGGGTGCTGACTTCATTTTCCAGCAGGACCTTGGCCCCTGCCCACACTGCCAAAAGTACCAAAACCTGGTTCAATGCCCATGGGATTACTGTGCTTGATTGGCCAGCAAACTCATCCGACCTGAACCCCATAGAGAATCTATGGGGCATTGCCAAGAGAAAGATGAGAGACATGAGACTGAGCAATGCAGAAGAGCTGAAGGCTGCTATTGAAGCGTCCTGGTCTTCCATAACACCTCAGCAGTGCCACAGGCTGATAGCATTCATGCCACGCCACATTGAGGCAGTAATTGATCCAATATTGCTCTATTTGCAATCCTTGATTTGCTGATTTCATTTAATTTTCTAATTTTCTGAGATTGTTAATTTGGGGTTTTCATCAGCTGTATGCCATAATCATCACAATTATAACAAATAAAAGCTTGACATATCTTGCTTTGCATGTCATGAGTCTATCTCATATATTAGTTTCAACTTTTCAGTTGAATTACTGAAATAAATGAACTTTTCCACGATATTCTAATTTTCCGAGTTTCACCTGTATAGTATCATCAGCTTGTATAGCACTTTACATAAAATTCAAGGGAACAGATCTCTGCCCTGAGAGGCTTACAGTTTAAAATTTGACACAACAGAGGAAGGAGAGGGACGTAGGAGCAGGCAAAGGAGGCGATGATTTGACTGACAAGTGCTGAGCTCTAGTTAGAGGCCTGGCTGCTGCAGTGTCCCTGCTCCAAGGGCTTCATGGGAAAGGTGATGGGAGGGAGGGCTTGAAGGAAATAAGCGAGGAGGATGCACAGAAGGGTTCTGAGAGGGGGTACCAGGCATATGGGGCACCAGGGAGGAAAAGGCAGACTTGTTTCGAGGAACAGAAGACGTCTAGATGTTGAGGAGCAAAGATCACAGGCAGAGACATATCAGGATACAAGAATGCTGTCCTAAGGATGGGAAAGCATGGCCACAAAGGGCTCTGAAGGCAAGAGCAAGGCGTTTGTGATGCATCCAGGAGCAGGCAGGGAGAAGCATCATGTTATGGGAGTGCTGTGAGAGATGAATGATTTTGGCAGCTAAGTCAGCAAGGGGAGACAACAGAAGGTCGGGGTGCAGAAAGGGCCCAACTCAGTAGGAGAGCAGCCACTGTGCATGCAGATGGTCAATCCCTGGTAGGTCTGGGAGCTACGCCTGTCTGTCCAGCTGAAAAACTGCAGATGGTGCTAAATGGATGGTAGGCAGATTCCTACGTTCCCCAGGAAGTTGTCATGTGTGCAGAAGCACACGGATCAAAACACACATCTTGCTCAGCACACCACTTTATTTTACTTGCACCCCACTCTTCCTCCACGTTATGCTCAAAACAGCCCTGCGGGGTAGGTCAGGCCAAGAAACAGACTCATTCAAAAGGGTTCAGCTCCAAGGGCCTTCTGGCAGTTCCCTCCTGTGAGAAATGAGGTTACAGAGATCCAGGCAGAGGGCCTCCTTGGTGGTGTACCCGCCCTGTGGAACGTCCTCCCATCATATGTCAAGAAGATAAATAAACAACTTCTAGAAGATATCTAAAAGCAGCCCTGTATAGAGAAGTTTTAAATGTTTTATGTTTTTATATCTATTGGAAGCTGCCCAGAGTGGCTGGGGCAACCTGGTCAGATGGGCGGGGTACAAATAATAAAACTGTTGCTGTTGTTTAAACCCTGGTTCAAGTCCAACATGCCATCCATTACGGCGCCACCTTGTCTCTCATCCTCCTGCAGCTTGTGCAGGAGACCTTCCTGCAGGCTGCACCCAGGACTCAAGAGCCCACCATGCGCCCCGACTGCCACCACACCTTGCCTCTTGCAGAAGGGGGCGCCTGGCCAATACTCACACATGCAAGATGTCCTCCGTCACGTCCAGTTCCTTGCTGATCCCTTCTTTGCGGGGCTCAGGGTCAGGGGCCAGGGAGCCCAGCGCAATCTGGGCCAATGATGATGATGGGAAAGGGATCTTCAGCTCACTGATGTTGGGGGTAGCGATAAGGAGCATAAAACGTACAATAACCCCCCCCCCACAGGCACACACTGCCCACCTTTCCAACAAGAGACACTCTCTCTTATTCAAAGTCACCTTTGTATTCTATGTTTAATATTTCTGGGAGAGCTTCTAGTCCCTGGTTTTTGACTGTGGAACTCTGACACGGATTAGAATCCCTGCTTCTCCATGACTGTGGATGGGAGAAAACTCAAGACCAATGTTCAAATTGCAGGGTGGAGGGCAGAGGGGGCCACTTTTGTGCCGACCTCTTTCGTTTACTTTTTTAAGAGGGGGAAGCAGGGGGAAATGTGTTATAACTAGAACATGAAGGGGCCCAGGGCACGTGGATTTCATTCAAGGCCTTCCTACCTCTTTCCCTTCACCCCACTCAGTCACCATTCTGTCCTATTTGCAGTTAGGGGTCAAAAAGCATTAAAGGGCAACTTATCCCCATTTCTCTCTTCACAAGGAATCCTGGGCACTGTAGCTTACCCCTCACAAAGCTACAAAGTGCCCATAATACTATGCGGGTGAAACCCTAGCAACCCATCACCTTGATTTCCCAGCAGCTCTAGAAATGCAACTTAGGTAAAGGTAAAGGTAAAGGGACTCCTGACCATTAGGTCCAGTTGTGGCTGACTCTGGGGTTGCGGCGCTCATCTCGCTTTATTGGCCAAGGGAGCCGGCGTACAGCTTCCGGGTCATGTGGCCAACATGACTAAGCCGCTTCTGGCAAACCAGAGCAGCGCACGGAAATGCTGTTTACCTTCCCGCCGGAGCGGTCCCTATTTATCTGCTTGCACTTTGACGTGCTTCCGAACTGCTAGGTTGGCAGGAGCAGGGACCGAGCAACGGGAGCTCACCCCGTCACGGGGATTCGAACCGCCGACCTTCTGATCGGCAAGCCCTAGGCTCTGTGGTTTAACCCACAGCGCCACTCACGTCCCATTCAGAATGCAACTTAGCACATGTGCAATTCATTCAAATGCATGTGGTGGGTCTGCGCTTAGAGTCCCTTCAGCAACACCCTTGCAAGTGAGCAGGGACTCCGGCCCCCGCCCCGCCCCCCACCCCACCCAGCAAGAGTGCTCAACCTTCCGGGTCCTAATCGCACTTCTCATATGAACCTGCAGCCCAGGACCCGTTTCTATTTTATTTTTACGGTGTCCATCCGGGTTTCAGTTGCAGGACTGGGCGAGGCTTTTGCACTTCTGGCACGTCAGAGGCGGGTATTTGGGCAGGAGCTGAAATCCCCTTTCGATCTGCAAGCGGGGAAACCCATTTCAAGCGCCTTTGCCCCTCCCGCTTCCTCCAGGCAGGATCAGGGCGCACCGAGGCAGCCGGGGGCCTGACCCCCCCCCTCGCCCCGCCATCCCGGCGCTGTCCTCCCCCCCAACCTAGTCCGGGAAACTACTGCCCCCCAGGAAAGGAGGCCCCAGCAGGAATGCCCGCCTCTCTTGAAAACAAGGAAGGGGGGGGACCGCGATGCCTCCCTCCAAGGGACCCAGGCGTCCGAGAGTCCAGCCCGCCCCTCCTCCGGGGCGCAGTGCTGCTGCTTTTCCGCCGGATACAAGGCGAGGCCTGGCCGGGACACAGCGCTCCCTCCGGTCGCCGCCGCCGCTCCTTCCATCGCCGCCTCCCCCTCCTCCCCCGGGGGTGGATCCCAGGGAGCGGCCGGCCCACGTGGGAGGATCCTTCGGAATCCACCCGCCTTAGCTGCAGCAGCGTCCGAGAGGAGCTGGCGACGAGCAACAGGCGCTTATGAATATTATAGGGAAATACGCCCAATGTGTGGAGGGTTGGGGGTTTTCCGCAGAAGAGCAATAAACACAAAAGCAAAACTCGGGAGCATAGCTTGCCAATCGGCCAATCACTTTTGGTATAAAGTACAGCAATCCCGCGATTTAAGTGCATTTAATTTGCACGTATTCAGCTTTCTACGCTCGTCAGTTGTTGTTGTTTAATAAAAGGGTTTGAAAGGATCTGGGGGGAAAGACTTTGGCAATCTGGCACACCATTGCACCCAATGTGTTTTGACTACACGCGATTTTGGCTTTAGGTGCCATTCCAGAACACAAGCCCCACGCAAGTTGCGGGCTTTCTGGTCCACATAATCAGAGCCGGCCCACTGCGGAGGCCGGGCAAAGCACCCGCTTCAGGGGCAAAAAAGCAAGAGGCAGCGCTCTGCCCACCCCTTCTGCCACCTTGTGGAAGGCTCCCTCCTCTGGCTGAGCTGGGCAAGGGGGAGTCTTCCTTTAAAAAAAAAAATTATTCAAAATTATAACAAGACATATTATCCAAAAACATAGCATCCTTATTTCCCCCCCCATTTCCCCCTCCCCCTCCCACACAGAACCCCCCCCCCCACACTTCCCTCAGTTCCAGTCTTTGGTTTCTCTAAGAATGCTGTTTTCTGCATGTTACAAAGTTGTATAGATCCTCAAACTATTTAGCTGATTATTATCAATAAAAAGTTTGTGAATGTTTATTCAAAACCAGCCAAGGAGTCCAGTTCGCTTTGTTGCGTCTTCAAATACTTTGTAAAGGGTTCCCATTCATCTTTAAAGTCACAGTTATCCTTGTCCCGTAGCTTATACGTCAGTTTTGCCAGTTCTGCCTAGTCCATCAATTTTTCTTGCCATGATTCTTTCGGTGGGGTTTCTTCAGTCTTCCATCCTTGTGCTACCAGAACTCTCGCGGCCGTTGTCACATACATGAAGATGTTTTTCAACTTTTTGGGCAGGTCTTTCCCTACAATCCCCAACAAAAATGCCTCGGGTTTTTTAACAAATGTTAAATGGAACATTTTCTTCAATTCATTGTATATCATATCCCCAAAATTTTTTAATTTCCTTACAATCCCACCACATATGATAAAATGTCCCCTCCTTTTCCTTACACTTCTAACATATATTTGAACTAGTTTTGTACATTTTCCCTAACTGCACTGGTGTTGTGCACCATCTGTACATCATCTTCATGTAATTCTCCTTCAATAGGGAACAATCTGTAAATTTTAAGTCAGTTTTCCATAATTTTTCCCAATCATCCATCATAATGTTGTGACCTACATCTTGTGCCCATTTAATCATAACTGATTTTACCTCTTCATCTTTCGTCTCCCATTCTAATAGTATGCTGTATGCGGCCTTCAGTAGTTTCACTTTCCCTTCAATCACTTCCGTTTGAAACCTAGATCTAGTATAACTAAATCCTTTCTTGCTGTCTTCTTTATGTGTTTCATATAGTTGTTGATAATGCAACCAACTCTGAAAGTGGTCTTTGATCTCATCATAATCTCTTAATTTCCATTTTCCAACATGTTCCTTTAATAAATCAGCATATGTGAGCCATTTTCCTTTCTTTCCAAGTGGTTTGAGCAGTAATGCTTCATGTGGTGAGAGCCATGATGGGGGTCTTTTGTTCTAATAAGTCTTTGTATCTCTCCCATACTCTCATTAGTGATTTCCTGATTATATGGTTGTAAAAACTTCTATGAACCTTCCCTTTCCTGTACCATAAGTATGTGTGCCAGCCAAATCTGTTGTCATGTCCTTCTAGTTCTAATGCCTCTTGCTTATCCAATCTCATCCAGTCCCTGATCCATACCAAACAAGCAGATTCATAATAGAATTTAAGGTCTGTGAGGGCAAACCCACCTCTATCTTTTACATCTGTAAGTATTTTATGTTTTATCCTTGGCCTTTTGCCCCCCCCCCCCAGATAAATCTTGAAATCTCTTTCTGCCATTTTTTAAAGCATTCATCTTTCAGGATGACTGGTATTGATTGAAAAAGAAATAGCATTTTTGGCAACACATTCATTTTAATCGCCAATATTTTTCCTAACATTGAGAGATTCATTCTGCTCCATATTTCTAAATTTCTTTTTACCTCAAGCCAATTTTTTTCAGTTATTTTAAAATAGGTTTATATTTCTTGATGTTAACCAAATCCCTAAATATTTAACCTTTTTATGGACTTCAATCTCAATGTTTTGTTCTAATTCGGTTCTTTCTTCTTCCTTCATGTTTTTAACTAATAATTTAGTTTTATTCCTATTTAGCTTAAATCCTGCCACTACCCCAAAATTCTGAATTTTTTCTATTACTTTAGGGAGTGAAGTTTTAGGTTCTTCCACTGTTATCACTAGGTCATCTGCATACACTTTTAACTTGAATTCACTTTTCCCAGTTTTTACACCTGTAATCTGGGAGTCTTGCAGTGTGCGGCGGGAGTGGGGGTCACATAATGGTAATTAATTTGTTGCTGATTTTAGACCTCTGCATAGTGAAACGGGTTGCAGCAAGGAAACCACTGTCCTCTGTCAGGGACACAAGAAAATGCAGATGGAACTTTGGTCCCATTCACCCTATACAGTGGTACCTCGGGTTACAGACGCTTCAGGTTACATACTCCGCTAAACCAGAAATAGTGCTTCAGGTTAAGAAATTTGCTTCAGGATGAGAACAGAAATTGTGCTCCAGCAGCACGACAGCAGCAGGAGGCCCCATTAGCTAAAGTGGTGGTTCAGGTTGAGAACAGTTTCAGGTTAATTACGGACCTCCGGAACGAATTAAGTACTTAATCTGAGGTACCACTGTACATTTAAAACACATGGCTTCCCCAGAGGATTCTGGGAACAGTAGTTTCTTAAATGTGCTGAGCATTGCAGCTCTGTGAGGGATAAACTATAGTTCCTACGATTCTGGGTGTGGGGGTGGGACCATGTGCTTTAAATGTGCTTTGCATCTATGGCGTGGCGGTGACCTTTCACACATGCTTGATTTTCTGAGAAATCTGTAAAAACAAAACATAGGTTTATGAGTACTGCTGTAGATTTATGGTGAACATGATGGTTTATAGAATCATGTATAACATTCCAAGTTGGTCTCTGGCCAGGCCAGAGCACTTCTGTGGCATGTAACTAGGCCCAGAACATTGGTACCAAATGAGTGTCACATTTAGTGTCATATGCATTTCATTCTAATGTAGTGCTATTGGAATTTTCTCAGAGGGGAATTACACACACTAAAATAAATATTGGAAGAGGAATTGTGAGTCATTGCTGCTTCCATTCCCCAATATACTGTGTGTGTGTGTGTGTGTGTGTGTGTGTGTGGTGTGTGGTGTGGTGTGTTTGTAGGAATTCTCGCTGTAGGGGAAGGTGTGCCTGAAGAAAGAAAGAAATTTCCACAAACTAATGTGGAAAACGTTGCAAAATGCAATTCTGGCCCTCCTGAAGATCTGGGTGGATAGATCTTCTAATGCCTGGGTATCCCTGACTTGCAGTGGCTCTGGAAGGATCTTTCTTAGCAGCCCTCTCTGGAAATGCCTGGGACCCCACCTCCTGCATACAAAGCATGCACTCTGAAACGGAGCTCTAGCCCTATCCCAACGTGCACTTACTAGGGAGTAAGACTATGGAAGCACTCCGACTTCCTTCACAGTAAACCTACTTAGGGTCAAACTGCATTCCTCATGATCAGGAGAAAACAAAAGGGCCTAAACCTAGATAACCCCAATTGCAGAAATTGGACACGTCTTTGCTTAGAGTGGCCATTGACACTTGGCCAAAGGAATGGACACCAATTTGCATATGCTGTGTGTAAATGCCCATATAAAAATATTAGTAGTTTGTATCCTACTAAGTCATAGTCACTAGAACCACTGACTTAGCTGAATATATATTACCTTGAGTATGACTGATGTGTTAGGTCACCCTATAATTCTACATGGGAATATTATACATCTCACTGTAGTGGAGAAGACTGTGGCCTAGGTGGCTGTGCTTAGTCTGCTCCAAAGTGCTATCTGTTGATGGGCAACTTCAGTGCCCCTGCTCTTCCTTCTGTATCTTTCAGCCAGACCTGGAATGCCCGGCCATTCAAATAGAGGACATCTTCATACAGAGAACTATCACCTGTCCACACCTTAAGCCTCTGATAGCCCTGAAAATTGATGACTGTCTTCTGTAAAATAGGACACCTGAGCATCTTATATTTGCTTTTCCTCTTCTGCTAATGAGTGAATGTCATGCCATTTCCTCTTTTATCCTGGCCTTTTCCACATTCTGAATAATCTAAATAGGATCCGTTTGTTTGTATATTTAGGTTACTTTCTAAACAAACAATGCAAAATTAAGAGGCAGTCTTTTATATATATACAGTATATAAAAGAAGTAAGTATTTTGTTCCCTATGGCAAGGAGTGCTAGAATGGGAAGCATCCATGTAATCCACCTTGTCTTAGACACACACCAGTGACGCATCAGCGGAGCACTTTGCTTCATTTAGTTCTTAAGGGAGGGGAGAGAGAGAGAGAGAGAGAGAGAGAGAGAGAGAGAGAGGTTGCATTGGAAGTAAGCAGGGACACCGCAGGGGCTTGAACCCCGTCCTGGAAACCAGGAGCGCCAACCACCAGCGTCTTTTGCTTTTTTTGGGCCAATGCAACAAGGTGAAAAGCAAAACCTGAGAGAACACTCTGAATACAGAATGTTCTCTCAGGAAAAAAGAAAACCCTTAAGAATTTAAGTTGCAGACTTAAGTTGCAGACAGAACACAATCAAGGTTTTATCCCTCGCCATTGGCAAGGGATATTCACCTAGATGTGTTTACGTCACAGAGTGCCATGTTGACTGCCATTAATTTGCAGGGCAGAACAGAGAGACTGGTTCCAGTCTTCAAACTCTGCCTTTATGCTCACCTTTTTGTTTGTCCCTCTGAAGTGTGAATTCATGGGCCTGGACGTTCCTTCTGCTGGTCTGTGAAAAGCAATCTGGACTCATTAGTTTGTCCCCGGCCCTTTCCCGCCAATTCCAGAGAAATGTTTTTGGAACACAGCTGGTCTTACTGACCTGACTTCTGCAAGAAGAGCTGGCTTCACCTGAGTGTGGTGGGCTCTGGGACAGAACTGTGAAGAGATCAAGCGGGGGGAAATGGAGAAGCCAGCACAAAAGTATTGTACTGAAAAAGATCACTGAATTGTGGAGTGTGAAGTTCACTTGCCGTTAAGTTTCCTGAAGGCTTGCAAAATTCTATTTCTGGTGTCACTGAGATGCACCTGGAAGAGACTAGGGTCTTCAGCAGCCCTCCCCTCCAACACAGGAGCAAAAACAGCCGGTTACCTAAAGCAGCGCAGTCAAGACGCAGGTGTCTCTCAATCCTGCACTGCAGATGTTCACTTGATGCATCAAGAGCTCTGACACTGCCTCTTACTTGTCAATGGAGCAGATCTGCTTCCGACACCGGTAGCTCTGTGAGGTCTGTAAAAAAAAGAGCTGGAACAAAACAAGGATGGCTGTCCCACCAAAAGATGTACCTTATTGTGTGGTGATGGCACAGGAAAGGGCCTCCCCTGCAGTGGTGTCCCGACACGAGAAGTCCCTCCAGGTAGAAGCACGCAGAGCAACTGCATCAGGCTTTCGAGTTCGCAGCTCTTCTGAAAAAGGGATTGAATAACCAACATTGCTAAATACAAGCTCTTTGGAAGATTTAGTTTGCATATTTGATGCGTGATTCCATTTAGAGCCTACCTTTTCTCCAATAGGCTCAGGGTGCTTGAATGGTCCCCCTCACTGCGACCTGAAAGAATCTTTGTACAAAGAGTTGCAGGCAGAACACAAAAGACACAACTGCATGGCTGCTATAATTACGATGGAGCATTTAGAGATCACTTGTTAGTTATTAGTGCCTATCGCCACCTCTGGTAATTCAAAAGTTTCATTAATAGAAGCTACGATTGCAGTTGAAGGTAACCAAGTGAGAGGTTACAGGCAAAGGAAGCAGTTTGCCACACCAGGTTTTAAATATATTGCCTTAGGAACAGATGAACTGGTGAGGATCCTGATTTTAGTATTCGTTGGAAACCCAGCAACCCTATCATGCAAGTTTTCAACAAAAAGTCAGCAATACAATTTGGGTCAAATTAAATTTCTAATAAAGTCTCAGCATTTATGGATATGTTCCCTGCATTAAACAATCATACATGTACCCCAGGCAAAGAAAATTGGGAGCTACATGCCTCCTTTATCTACAGGAGTGAAGGGTACAGACCTCTATTCCAAAACGTTTCACAAATGTGGGTTATTATGATTTTGTGTGGCAGAGCTCTGGTCATTAGTGGAACAATCAGCCACCCCCTTATGTATGAGTAAAAATGGCCAGAGAGTCAGGATTCATAAGATTTCAAATATTTTCTCTGTCATTTCAGCCTTACCATTAGCAGACATCATTTTCTGCCCTTTATGTACAAGAAAAAATGGTCACGGCTCATCCTTCCTAATTTGTGAATATGTTTGTGCTTAAACGTTTGCTGGACTTTTTTTGCTTAGAAATGGCCGGCAAAATGGTGAAAACCTCTACTCACTCCGATGCCTCTCCCATTGCCATCAGTAGATTCACCCTCAAAATGCCTTATTTGCTTTTTCACACTGAAATCAGCAAGGCACCTGTTACAGACAAAAAAAGCAGTTTGATGCATCAGCTTTTAAAATGGGTATTCTAAATCGGTATTCTACCTTAGGAACAGAATTACTGGCAAGGATGCAAAATGCTGGTATGTTTGGAACCTTTTGGATTTATACACTTCAGAAGGAACAAAAACTCAACAATATTTTGGTGACCCTCTTCTGCAGTTGCCCAGTAAGTACAATTTGTTTGGCTTCATATGCCAAATGCCACCACTTTTAAGCAGCTGCTCAAGAGGGTTTGTTATTCTTCTCCTTGGAAACCACAATATAAATAAAATTAAGTTCTGCCCATTAACAAAGGAGCTTATCTATAGTCGCCAAAAAGCTATCACAAAATGGCTGCAAAGCATTTTTGTCAACAAGACAACCTGAGCTAACATGAAATTAAATGGAACAATGTTGTCTTCTCCCCCTGGATCCCCCTGGATCCCGCTACCCTTCTCACTTCTAAGTCTTACCTGTGTTAAAATCTTACCCGTCTTGGTTTTTCCAACTTCTGTAGTGAGGTTCTGGAGCGAGATCCAGGTGCTCTTGGAAGGAGCTGAATATCTGGATCCATTTCCATCAGGGTTTAGGCCTGCTTTTGGCCCGAAAACGGCCTTGGTCGCCCTGCACCTCTGTCGAGAGACAAGGGAAGGCGCTCAGTGACCCCCAGTGCCCTCCATCAGCTTCGGCTGGTGGCCCAGTTGTGCCCCTCTCTGGACACGGATAGCCTGACTCCTGCTGTCTCTGCTCTGGGAACCCGTTCTTGGGTCGTTCTTTTGGTTTTGATTTGGTGTAGTTGATATTTTATGTGAACCGTGCTTAGACCTTCGGGTATAGGGCAGTATAGAAATTCAATAAATAATAACAGTAATGATAATAATCACTTCGGCAACAGAAACGCCAAACTTCTTTTTATGAAATGGCTTCTCCAGTTGCCTTTTAAAAGAAAAGCCTTCTATTTTCTGCAATTATTCTTCACTCGGCTTGAAGCAGACTTCATATCCACCTAACCTTTCCTCTGCTCTTTTGTACATCCGAAGACTTGTTGGGCAAAAGGGAAATAAACTTGATTTTGCCCCTCACGTTCCTTCACATATCTTCGTTTTCCCTTGCCTTTCTATTCATCAGGCGTATCTGCTTTTCTTGATTCTCTTTAAAATCTTCATCTTGATGTTTTTTATGAGTTTTCAGTTTAAATTTTTCTTGGCTAAGCGTTCTTTTGGGGGCTTTCTCAAAGTCCAGCATCTGTCCACAATTTACTCTCCCTGTTTTACTATGATTAATTCTTTGTTGGTCTTCTTGTTTTCTTTCAGTTTCCTTTAAATTTAAAATGTATTGCGTCTCCTAACACTTTTTAGGGAGTTACTGAATCTATTTAGCTTCTGTCTGTCTGTCTTGTCTATCATCTACAAGCAACATTTAAAATTGCCAACTATGGAGATCACAAGTGAACATTTGTTGTATCTCTTTTTAAAGTTGTAAATAACAACTTCAACTCTGACCCGTGAGAGGGCTAAAACCAGTATTATAACCAGGGACAGTCTCACTCACTAGACTCTGGCTCGCTCCTTCCACCACCTGTCAGTCATAAGGGCACATAAAATAGTCCCTTGGCGCATTAATACAGTGGATACAAATGGGTTTGTTTTCAACATGGGATCACTGCGCATGGGTGAGAAATTAGTGCCGGCCCCACTCCCTAATAACAGGGTTGCTGGGGTGCCATCTTGAATAAAATATGGGGGGTGGGCGGGCGGTAAGCCCTGCCCTACATAGTCACATGACACGGCACACACAATTAAATGGCAATGGCCATCAACTTGGGGGGGGGGGGTCCCGGCCCCTCAAATATTTTTGGGGGGGTGCGGGCTTAAGAGGAGTTAGCTCCTAAACTGGGTATGTATCATTCCTAGATCAATGTCTTTGCTTGCTTGGCTATTTGTAGAATGTGCTGTGCCTTTTAATGACATTTTGCCCATGTATCGCACTGATCTGAACATTAAAGATTTTGGTAGACACTGCAGCCTGAGTTTGAATTCTACTTTGAGTGACAGCAGGAAACTCTCCTCCACAGGGTGCTTTTTTGGAGATTCTCCTTGTGGGAGGGGCCCCAGGGCCCCCAAAATGGATAGACTATCACTTTAAGAAAATGCTTTAAGAAAATGCTAAGAAATTTAAAGCTATCTACCTCTCTCTCTCTCTCTCTCTCTCTCTCTCTAAGCAACATTGAAAATTGCCAACTATGGAGATCACAAGGGAAAATTTGTTGCATCTCGTTTTAAAGTTGTAAATGACAACTTCAGCTCTGACCAGTGAGAGGGCTAAAACCAGTATTACTGCCAGGGAGAGTCAGCGGCGGAGGAAGCCGCTCGGGCGCCTGGGGTGCAAGCTGCCCATAGGGGCAGGGCAAGGGTGGGGTGAGGTATCCATAGGTGCGGGGTGCACCGTGGGGCCTCCAAAGTCTGCCTGCCTCCTCCCACTCAGTCGCCCTTCAGCTGGGGGGGGGGGGAGGCAGCGGGCGAACTGTTTGGGCAGCACAGAGCCTTGGGCCCACTGCAGGCCCCGTGGTGAGTGCCGCCCGGCATTTTGTCACCCCCCTCAGTGACACCTGGGGCCACCCCAGGTGTCCCCACACCTATCGCACCCCCCTTCCTCCGCCCCTGGTTGCAGGTGGTGTGGCCAGGGGTTCGGGGGGAACTGCCCCCCAATCAAGTAAATAAAAAAAATACTTAACTGACCAATTGTGTCTCTGGTAACTCCATTCTGCCCCCCCCCCCCCCGGTTGCCACGTGTCTTCTTTTTCCAGGACACATCCTCTTTTTCAGGGGTAAGATTTTTAAAATTTGCCAAAATGTCTCTGGCTATACTGTCTGGATGAGTCCTAGACAAGACTGGTGAGTGAAGACTTGCTTTCCCCATCTTTTCTCTTCTCCTGCCCCCCCAGCAATATATCACAGCTTCTATAGCCTACGTATAGTAGGAGTATTTAAAATGAGAATCTTCATGGCGTCCTCTTTTTTGCTCTTTGAAATATGGCAACCCTAACTTACCCCCCCTAAAAGAAATCCTGGCTACACCCATGGCAGGGGGTCATAGCAACAGTGCCAATTTGTTGATATAATCAATGAACTATTACCATGAACTTAGAAATTTATCCTTCTTACCCTCCCCATTTATCATCACGCTGCTGTGTTGATTCAAACTCCCAGATTGTGCCATTTCCCATACCTGGGTAAAACCAAGATCGTGAAGTGAGGGCCTCCCCCCATTTCCCACCTGACAGCTATTTCCATTCTGGCAGTGACTGTCAAAAGAGACCATAGTCAAAGATGGAATATTGGGGTTCAGATCCCCCCCCCCCGCAAGAACCAAAAAATGCGAGCCACGGATCCCTGTTCAGTTTATAACCAATTGTAATGATTTCAGAATTAATTTATTTATTTGGTCGTTTATTTTGCCAAAATGGACGCAAGTTTTTTTGCACCATTTCTTCCCTACCGGGATGGGGCTTTGCAAACCATTGGACCAACGGAGAGGCAAGTAACCAGTCATTTTTGTTTCCTCTTCTTGGCAGGCCTGTTCACACAACGCGTGCATGGTTGGTCCTTAATGCAGGAACCAGGAAGCTGTGACCCTCCAGACGTTGGAAGCCAACTCCCATCATCAGCCCCAGGCAGCAGGGATGAGGGAAGCTGTAGGCCAACAACAACAACTCACACCTCAGAATACTGTGGTTTTGTTCCCACAATGTTTGTCGCTAGACACTGTAACATTAGAGGATGAATTGCTTGTGTGAATCAGCTGTCTTGGGTTTAAGTTCATATATGAGACATGCGAAAACAAAGGAAAGACCGTAAATCTGTGAGCAGGGCTTGCATTGTTTTAGAAAATGTTAGAGAGAAAACATTAGACACTTTATAATTAAAATAGAAACCCTCTCCATAATTTGGTTTCTCTGCATTTACCTGCTGAATGTGCAAACAGATTTCATTGAGGGGAAACAATATTGCATTTGAAGCGTGGTAAAAGTCCAGTCTGTGGTGTTCATTCACAGGTGAAATTTATTGCTGGGCGTTGCAGTGATCTGGTGATGAATATTTGTGTGTGTACCAGCCCTGAAAGCAAACTACAAAACTAAATACTTGTTTCAGGAGTCAAGTCCCCACCACATGAACCTAGACATGGTAACATCTTCTTTTGGACTGATAGTGTAGAAATATGGGGGCTTTTCTGTTTTGTCAAAACTTGCTTTTTACGGATTTCACCTGAAACAAACAAATATGCTACTACTTGCTCTGAGACCTGGGGAAAGGACACGATATAAATAAAACATCATCAGTTTACATAGCAATGTGCTATCTTTGTTTCTAACCGGAATCCACCTTCCCTCAAATGCCATCTGTTGTTTTCCCCTTTGGGCCCAAACTATCTATAACTCTGTGCCTTGGTTTCTTTTCTGTATTACAAGAAACGCTTCCCGGCATGTTGGGAGATGTGCCAAGTCCTTTCTCATCATCAGGACTCTTTGAACCAATGGGGAAGGCAACAGAATTGCCACCACGTCCTGAGCTTTTGACAGCTGTACAGCAGGCAGCAATCCAACAGGCAGTGTTTGCTGGCATAGGGATGTGCCAGTGAAGAAAACAGTGCTTGTCTGAATTTATGCATGGCATGTAGTTGTTCAGGAAGAGGGTGGTTGGCAGCATTAGGTGTGGCACGAGAACTGGCATATCTTTTGTTATGTACTGAAGTTCTCACCCTGGGCCAGCAGGGGGATACTGTAGATAGTTATGCAAATGAAGGATCGAAAGTGACGTTCAGTGATTGGATAGTTTGTATGCAAATGAAGGATCGAAAGTGACGTTCAGGGATTGGATAGTTTTAGAAAGTTGCTACAGTTACGTTGTTCTGGAGCTCTATATAAGCATGCTGACTGAGCTCTTCAGTTCAGTTCTGTTCTGGCCTCTGAATAAACAAGAGCTGTTTGAAGAATCGCTGTGTCTGATATGTTCGCCCACAACTTAACATCTTTAGTTCAGCATTAGATTCATAATGGGCATGTTAAAGTTACGACAATGCCTTACATATCATTCCTAACTGTATACTCAGTTCACACATGTATATACATCAGTGGTGGGTAACTCAAGCTCTCTGCAGCTGAAGATATAAGCTGACTGCCCACCTCTATTGAAAGCATTGTGGTGGAGGTGATATGCAAGTTCTGGCTGCATTCTTATTTATTCTCATACATGCAAGTTATGACGGGATGCGGTAGTGCTCAAATGGTAAACACGTATGCCCCAGCTTTTGAGGCCTTACAGCAGAATGCATGGATGACTACAGGAAAAAAGGTTTCGTCTGTGATTATCTGCCTGCGACAGCTCTTCACATGTAATCACTAATCCATACTGCATTGGTCACATTTACATTGTACACTTAAGGCACTACCATAACAAGTCTTCCTCCAAAGAATACTAGGAATTAAGGGCGCTGAGAATTGTTAGGAAACCCTGCCCTTAGCTAGAGTCCAGTGCCCTTAACAAATTCCCAGTTCCCAGGATTGTTTGGGGGAAAGCTATGACTGTTAAAGTGCTTTAAATGCTTGCAAATAATTATGTTCTGCCTGTAGAGTTTGATCTGTGAGGATGCAGACACATACCCAACTCTACAATTCTATGATTCTATTCTGTATGCAAGTTCACAGTGGATGCCACAGAGGTGCCAACCTGTACTTGGTGCCAACCTGTACTTGGAGGCTCCATTGATTATTGTGAAACTTGTTTTTCAGTAAATGAGTTTCCAGGAGAAATCTGCTTGCCTCCTTGGCTCATATAGTCAGTGATATGCCATCCTTGCAATATGTGTATGCAGTGCTTTCCCCCCTAAAAATGTTTAGGGGTACTCTCATTTTGACTCAAGAAAATCACCATTTTATAGTTCAAATCAGGGAAAATAAATACAGCAAATGGACAAAAGTACAAAGATTCACAAAATGTTTAGGGGTGTGCGTATCCCCAGAAAAATGCACTGTGTGTATGCAAAACACGTAAGTACAGCAATCAGTAGGAAGCGTGTGTTTGCTAGATTTTTGCCTTTAACCATTTTCATTCGAGAAAGTGGAGTTGCCCACTCAGCTTTGGGTACATCATGCTGCATACCATTTGAAGTTTTTCGTTTATTCCTTCCTTAAGCCGTGTGGGCTGGGCTAGAAGTTTCGTTTTAGAGCTCACTGTTGTAAAACGAAAGCCAAGGTTTTCAGTATTCAAAGCAAGCTTGCAAAAAAACATGGCTGTGTAGGTGCTATAGCTCTCCCTTTCATTTAGATCCTCAACAAGGAAGAAAATTCCATTCACTTCCTCTGCAGCCAGGGCGTTTCATTCATTTGAAGAGCACACATTTAATTGTGGAGGGTTCCCTGTTCAGAATTCCCAGGCCCCAGAATTCCCTTTCTCCCCTACACTCAGCTGGCATTTTGTGGCCACTGGGCATGCTCAATCCTCTTTGACCTGTTTGGGGGATTTCCCCGTCTCCATTTGGGTTTTCTCTCTGCGTTTTAATTTTCTCTGTATGTGATAGACATGCTTGTCCTCAACGCCAGGTACAATCATTTCATTTCTCCACTTACGCCACTGGGCAGTTCTCGCATCTGTTCCTCCCTGGGGAAATTTGTAAATAGCATCTCAGTGTGAATCAGGAACTGACCTTTCCAGACAATGAGATGGTGCTCTCTAAACTTTTTATGACTGTGTCTCTTTCTCCCCCCACCCTCATCCATGCCACTCTATTCTATTTCCCCCTCTCCCCACACTGGCTTTCAGCTCCCCCAACAATCAGTCAGTCCTATGTGGCCACAAAGCATGCTCTGTCCTACGGTTCTGGATTCCCAAGCCTTTTTGTCCCTGGTTTGTGCACTTCTGCAATACTTGGGTTCCCAAAAGGCTGCTGTTACCTCTCTCTTAGTTGGGGGAGAGATGCTGTTTAGGATACAATAAACAATAGCACTCACAGCATGCAACATCAGAAATAGAATGATGAGAAGAGACCTGCTAGATCCGATCAAAAGCTCTCTATAATTCAGCATCCTCTTCCCAAACGCAGCCAGCCAACTGCTTCTGGGCAGCCCACAAGCAAAGCATGAAGCCAACAACACCAATTTCCTACCATTGCTCCGCAAGCCGCTGATATTCAGAGGTATTTTGCCACTGAATAGGGAGGCTCCATTTAGCTGAGGAGTGAGGAAGCCTGTGCCCTTCCACATGTTGTTGGACCGCAATTCCCATCATCCCTGACCACTTGGCCATGGTGGCAGGGCTGATGGCCGTTGGGAGCTCATCAGCATCTTAGAGGACACAGGTTCCCCTTCCCTGCTCTGGCCATTAGCAGAACCATCATTCCCAGTTCTCTTCCACTATTGAGCTGTGCAAAGGTTTGCCTTCTGTTACTAGTGCAGAATTACCTTCCTCCTTTAGACTCCAATATCTGCAGTGATGCCAGCCCAGCAGTGCCTAACCTTGAGATGCAGGGCTCAGTGCAGAATATGATTTTAACCTCCCCCACCAAACAACAGCAGCAGCCAAGCATATGCCTTTGAATGTACACAGCACACATTTCCCTCCCCATTGTTTAGGCTGAGCCTGCCTGCACACGTCAGAAATCAGGGTGCAGAGCAATCACAAAGACAGCAACTCAGGACTGCACAGCTGGCTGTTTTGCTTTGGAAGGGAACCACTGAAGGCCACGTAACAAAAATAATTGCTGGGCGAGCACAGAGCCTCCAACTGGCCCTGAGCATCTCCTGACTTTATTACACACACAGCAGCTGCTTCTTCCAAAGCCTACTGGCAAAGGGCACTTGATCATCCCACCCTCCCAGTATGAACAACAACAAAAAAGGGAAAAGAGTTGTCAAAATTAAAGGAAGCTTATTTTTCTAACAAGGATGTTTGCTACCCACACTGGGAAGAAAGGTGTTAAAGAACTGTCTGTTTGCATTCTAGTTCACATGGATGGGAGTGAATGAAGAGGCAGAGCCAACTGTTTTGATAGCTTCTATTTAACTCAAAATACAATCCCTGTTAAAATTAGTTGCAGTGTCATAGGGCCAAGAGAAACCCCACCAGCCCTTTCTCCCATAACCCCTGATGCCACTGCTGGCACATCTCTCTTCAGTCCATAGCTCCCAGACACAGCCTGCTGCTGCTGCTGCTTCACATACACCCCAATGTATCCGGCCTCCCTAATCTTACATCTCTGTAAATTATGTTATTGCTAGCCACCACCACCACCCCCTCCTCCTCCTCTCAGGCTCTCTTGGCCTGACCTTATGCCTGAGAGTTAAGTATTTCATGTGAAATGTGCTATATTTTAAGTTTATGGCATGGTTAATTGGCTTGCGCCTTAATCCAAATAAATCCAAATAAATAAATCCTTTTCACTTCACAGGAACAATGTTCATGAATACCTTGCAGAATCCAGATTGTTCATTGTCTAAGTCCGAGAGCATAGATTAATAATATTGTGCCAACATCCGTCTATGGTGTTGATTACTCAAGCGGCAACATCTTGGCGTAGATCTGGAGTGAGGAATCGGTTCTCCTCTGCCCCCAATATGTTGCTGGACTCCATCAGCCCCAGCCAATGAGGCCAATGGTTAGGGATGATAGGAGCTGGAGTCCAGCAACATCTGGAGTGGCAGATGTTAGCCCTGATTCCCACTGCAGTATGGGCCATACCAGGGGTAGGCAACCTAAGGCCCAGGGGCCAGATGCGGCCCAATTGCCTTATCAATCCGGCCCACGGACAGTCCGGGAATCAGCGTTTTTACATGAGTAGAATGTGTCCTTTTATTTAACATGCATCTCTGGGTTATTTGTGGCCCATCACATGGTCTGAGAGACGGTGGACCAGCCCACGGCTGAAAAAGGTTGCTGACCCCTGGGCTATACACTGTAAGTAAGTAAGTAGAACTTGTAAGTAAGGCCTGAAACAAAGAGATCAATGACTGGACTTTCCTGTGTGTTTATTCACCTACTTAAAAAGCAAATATACTGGGAGAAATAGGAGATTGTTTCCCAGATCTAAATTACCCTATCTAGACACACAAACACCAAAGATGCTATGATCCCCACAGTGCTGAAGAGGGGAGAAAGAGAGGCTTGCCTTTTCTTGCTAGGGATGCTCAAAGCACGTTTTGGGCAGGGAGATTTAGAACTGACAGCATTGCTGGTGGGGTAGGGGCTGGTCACTCTCTCCCCTCCCCAGAGCCATGGCTCTGATGACATGCATAGCTCTCTGCAGCTGCTTTTAAGTGAAAAAGAAAATGTTGGAGGTTCAGTCCCAGATCTCCTGCATCATGTCCATTTCGGCTTGCCAGTAGTGAACAGTGTCTCTTTCTTCTGCACAATCTTGGAATATATTATACAGCCTTGATTTGGGGTGCCTTTCTGTTAGGCAGATCCAGTTTCCTTGAGCTGGTTATCTGGCCACCATCCAGAAACACCACACAAAGAAATACTAGCAATTGCCTCTGACAGCCACATAAGCAACAACTAAACATCTTCAGAGAGTTTGTTTGTGGCATCCTGAAGATGGAGGATCTACCATGCTGTTTGAATACTTCATTTATAACTCTATGCGTGAGGTGCCGCTTCGCTGAAGGGGTGCTGCGCAGAGAGGGAGGGAATATTTTTTTTCTTGTTCTCCTCCTCTAAAACTAGGTGCGTCTTATAGAGCAAAAAATACAGTACTTCCCTTGCTTCACAGGCATTCAGAAGGCAACTAGGACCATAGTTATCCTTTCCTCCTAATGGGGCTCACACTCCTGGCTCCTGCTTCTCAGCCCCTCTGGCCCATGCAGTGAGCCTATGGGGGCTACTACCAGTGTGTCTTCGCCCCTGCCTTTGGCTGCTTGGCAAAGGAATCTTCTCCACCCTGGGCAGGTCTTGAACCCTTGTCCATAGGAGGGCCAAGTATACTTCCTGCAGGACCCCTACCCAAGGAACTATGGAGGTGCTACACTCATTATGTGAGTCCTCCTCTCTCCGCTCTGTGCGTTTGTGTGTTGTGTTCATAAGGAGCATCAGAATATTAAAACCTCTGATTATAGGGATGCCCACGGACTAGTGCTGCTGGGGCCACTGCTGTTTGTGCTACAGGAACTGATGGAAAGTGGGCACGCTGGCATTACTGTTGACATTATGTGTGCAGTGATGGAGGGCTGTGTGATGAGAACATGTCTGCACCTTGGTGATTTCAATGGCTGCCTCTATCCTCTGGTAAGCATTATACAGGCGGCAGTGCCAGAACAGTCCCTGGTTAATGGTTTTTAGTAGGGTGTCCAGGAATGCTGTAAGCATCTCTTGTTGATTTCCTGTTTTTGTGTTTTCTGGGCTGTGCGTTTTTCCTCCTCCAATGAGCATATATTGGATTGGATTCAGTGGCTTTTCTACTAGCAAAAAGGCAACATCGTTCTGCTCCCAGCACAATGCAAGTCTGGTTCTCTCTCTCTCTCTCTCTCTCTCTCTCTCACACACACACACACACACACAAAAGCATCAATATTAAGGTTTTCAAAACTTGTATTTTAAATTTGGGTTATTCAGATTTGATTTTCCATCTGAAAATTTTGGTAAACTTTATTTTTAGGATGGCCTTTGGATACAACAATAAATATGAATCTATTAGATGCAACCAGGCTTAGGTGATGAAAAAGAAACCCCCCATATTATTAAACACAGCAGCACCCAACCCCAATGGCAGCTGCATCTCTCAGTACTGGGCAAGCAATCTTTCCCCAAGAGTCATTCCCCCACTTCGGACGAACACACTAGACAGAGTAGATCAGTCTCACCCATCACCACCTTTAATGGACGGGGAGTGGCTACAGATGCTCTGTGCCCCTTTAACAGCAGTCCAGAGGGATCGCTCCCATTAAGCCCCAAGCTGGGCCCTGCCCAGGGGCTCTCTGTCCAAAAAGGCAGGCTCAGTCCCCAAGTTCACCAGCTAATCCAGAAAGCCCATTTCTACAGCTTCAGCCACCTCAGGGTGAAGCAAGCGTGTGGCCAAGCGCTCAATGTCATCCAAGCTCAGTAATCGAAGGCTCCGCTCATAATCCTGGGATGGGGGGAGGGGGAGAGGAGAGAGAAAGAGAGAATTGAACACAGCGTTCAGAAGCACACCTGCCAGATAGTCAGACATTTTGTAGTTAAAAGGGTCCCAATGAGAAACTGCTGTGTGTGTAGATTTGCAGGAGGTTAGCCAATGCAATCTTTTAAAATACAGTGACAGATTTTGATGTGGGAGACAAAAGTTAAAAATCCTGCTTATTGGGTGATCTTGGGCAAGTCATTGGAGTCTGATTCATACACACTTGATGCATGTGTGTGAATGAATCAGATGCCTGGCTCATTCTCAGCTCCCGCTGCCATCAAATAAAAGCAGGTTATTCCCAAGGAGCTGTTGGGACACTGGCAGTACAACAGCTTATATATGTCTTCTCAGAAGTAAATCCCACTGAGTTTAATGCGACTTACTCCCAGATAACTGGGTACAGAACTGCAGCCTGAATAAAATAAAGACAGCAATAATGTTTTGCAGGCTGAAACTGCAAACACAAGCACACTCAGTCAAGATCAAGGCTGCAATCCTAACCCCACTTGCCTGGGTGTAAGCCCACTGAGTTTAATGAGATTCCCGCCCCCCTCCATGGCACATAGTTAGGACCGCACCTTACTGAACTCAGTAGGAATTACTTCCAAGGAAAGGCACTTAGGATCAGGCTGCACAAGGGTCACAGGAACCAATAAGCCAAACCTGAGGGGATTCCCACCTACACTCCTCAGGGGTGTCTTACCCATAGAGGCCATTGGCACAGGATGCCAAGTTCTGGAGGGCGCCAGGGAAGAGGTGGAGGCTGGATGCGGCACCTCCCGGCATCAGCTCAACGCCCTTGCCCGCCTCCGCCATGCCCCGCCTCCGGAGCCTCCATCTGCGGTGGCCACCGCACAAAGCGGCCAGCTGAGCCAAGAAGCATCACACCCAGCCTCCACCTCTTCCCCGTCGGAGCCACCCTCCAGACACTGCCCGCCTCCTCCAGTCCCGCCGGCAGCACCGTCCTCCCTAAAAAACTCTGGGAAACCGGGGGGGGGGGGCACCAGAGGGAGCTTTGCACCACGGCGCCGGATATGCTTAAGACAGCCCTGGCACTCCTGTTAGAAAGTTACCTTTTGCAATTGCTCCAACACCTTCTCAGCATCAGCTACGCTGAAATGCCTGCCTAGGACTTGGGCCAGTGTGTGCCAGATGACAGGGTTCTGCGGGGGTGCAGCTCTGCGGCCAGGTTCCTCAGGCGATGCCTTCTCTGGCGGCTTGATCACAAGGTTCAGTTTTGACTCGGGTCCAATAGAGTAATCAGAGAGACGGTGTTCATCTGGGAAGGAAGCACAAGCTGCTGAAAGGCCAGGTGCCAGCCAGCAAGAGGCCTCACTCTGGCAACCAGAACTTCCACAGGGCCACAAAGTTTTGGTCTCACACCAGCCATAGCTTTGCACGGACTGGAAGGATACAATTTACTACAGAAAACTAAAGGGCAAAGCATCCAGCTAGTGCAGGTGTGACGAACCTCTGGTTTTCCTGATGCTGCTGTATGTAGGAGCCAACTTTTAGGGGCCGAGGTTCCTTCAGCTCCCTCTATAAAATATTTGAGGGGCCTGGCGCCCCCACAAAGTTCATGGGCATTGTCATTCAAATGGGGTGTGTGTGTGTGTTGTGTTATGTGATCAATTATGTGGGGTGGGGCTTAGCTCCCTCCACCCCAATATTTTATTCAAGTTGGTATCCCTGCTGCTGAACTACAACTCCCAACAGCCCCAGGCAGGCATAGCCAATGATCAGGAGTGTGTGTCCCCCGCTGCGAGAAGTGAAGTTACAGGGAACTAGGTACAGGGCCTTCTTGGTAGTGGCACCCACCTGTGGAAGGCCCTTCCATCAGATGTCAAACAGGTAAGCTACTACACAACTTTCTGAAGACATCTGAAGGCAGCCCTGTATCAGGAAGTTTTTATTGTCTGGTGTTTTTGCTGTGCTGTTATTATGCTGGAAGCTGCCCAGAATGGATGGGGAAACCCAGTTAGATGAGCAGGGTATGCAATGAATTAATATCATTATTATTATTATGGGAGTTGTTCATCTTGAGTGCTAAATTTCCAACAATCCTAGCTAGTCACATCTCCATTTGCATTAAAAGTCAAAACAACATTTGCTGTGAGCTCACAGCAGAAAATATATGCCCCCCATAAAGGCAAAGATTATACATTCTTAATATCTGCTGCAAAATAAATCTGTGTTTTGGCTTATGAAAACCAGGTTATTTCATATTGTCACAGAACATCCAGTCCCCACAGCAGGGTTTTTTGCGGGCATATTGGCAAATCTTAAGAGACTATTCTTTTCTATGAAACATGTCACAAATCTCACTGCCATGAGTCTCAAAATGAAATAAGGGCAAATGAGATTTGAAAAGGCTTAGACAAAAAACAGCACAAATCAGAGCTATAGCTGGGATGCTTCGGGAAGAAATTAGGGAAATGAAAGGAAGTCATCAAGCTCCATTTGTAGGTAGCAATTTTTTTAGAAAGGTTGCAAGCATAAGAAAATATACTTTCAGTACAGATAAAAGCTTTCTTGAATTTCAAACATTGCATTTCCTCTATCAATGCAAATCTCTTACATATACATACAGGTCATTTACAACCCCACTTACACACCCCAAAACCAATCCCACTGATTCCTATCCAAAGATGCCCTCCTTCCCTCACACACAGTCAGGTCTGGTCCAAGACAGGAAATCCCACAAACACCTCACTCTGAGAGTAAAATACAATAATAATAAATAAACTTCTTACTACCCTTTCAATAAACTCTGCCGCCTGAGACAGCTGCTTCGTTTTATTATTACTATTTATTAAGCTTGTATACCGCCCTTCATCTGCAGATCCCACAAGATTAAATTGCAATATAAAAAACACAAAATATATAATAAAAATAAGAAGAAAAACAAACCAATAACACCCCTCTTCCACCACACTTTTAAAAGGGTAAAGGTAAAGGTACCCCTGCCCGTACGGGCCAGTCTTGACAGACTCTAGGGTTGTGCGCCTATCTCACTCAAGAGGCCGGGGGCCAGCGCTGTCCGAAGACACTTCCGGGTCACGTGGCCAGCGTGACAAGCTGCATCTGGCGAGCCAGCGCAGCACACGGAACGCCATTTACCTTCCCGCTAGTAAGCGGTCCCTATTTATCTACTTGCACCCGGGGGTGCTTTCGAACTGCTAGGTTGGCAGGCGCTGGGACCGAGCAACGGGAGCGCACCCCGCCGCGGGGATTCGAACCGCCGACCTGACGATCGGCAAGTCCTAGGCGCTGAGGTTTTACCCATAGCGCCAACCGCATCCCTTTTAAAAGGGTATCAGATGTCAATTACCCAAAGGCCTGGTTGAAGAGGAACGATTTCACCTGGCAGCTATTCTACCTAATGATAGGACTGGCCTTGCCATACTCTAACATAGAGGCCCAGCAACACAGTCACACCAAACCGCCATCAGCACCCACCTGCCAAAGCTTTGCCTTTGAAAAGCAGGCGCTGCTGGGATACTGGGACATTCAACTTCTCGGAGACCAAGCGTTTGAGAGAGGAGATCCGTTCATCTGGGGAGACCTGAGAAGGAAGAATGTGATGAAGTGGGGCTGCCCCCCAAAGTTGACAGGCTCAGAGCAAGGGCTTTCATATGCTGGAGAATATAGGCCCTGGTCAAGCACAGAACTAGAAGAGCTGAACAAACCTTTCGTTCAGTAATATACACTACACTTACTGTACCTGTCCGTTCTCAGGTCCTTTTCAGAGTGAATTCCCACCCCCTTCCAGTTGCTCTAAGAAGCTTGCCCCATTGACAAATTGGTCCACAGGAAATAATTTTGTTCTATGCTAAATTAATGGCTGGAATTTTATCTTCCTCCTTCTGGCAAAGCTCCTGTGAAAGGTAGAAGATCAGTAAGTGCAGCTTTTCACAGCATGAATATTTTCTGCTTTCCAGGTAGTTGTTAAATAATATTACTAAGTAGGCATATAGTGTTTTTCAACTTAAGTTAGTGTTGGCCCCTTTTTCTCCCAGGCATGAAAATGCTGATATCACTTGAAGGTAGAAAGTACAGTCAAACCTCATTGGTGAAAGTAATCTGTTCCAGAAGTCCATTGGGCTTCCGAAATGTTTGACAACTGAGGTACGGCTTCTGACTGGTTGCAGTGGCTTCCTGCACTCAAGCGGAAGCCATGTCAGACATTCGGCTTCTGAAAAACGTTTGAAAACCGGAGCATTTACTTCTGGGTTTTTGGTGTTTGGAAGCCGTAACGTTCCAAAATGGAAGCGTTCAGGAGCCAAAGTTTGACTGTATAAGGTATGAACTGGAAATTCATAGTTAAAATCTCTGTTTTCCCTTGAAACCACTGAAAGTCTGTTCCCCCAGCTGTAACATGACAATAATACTATTATCGTTTATTGATATCTTTATAAATACAGGGATGCCTTAAGCAATTGTTATAAGAACAACCATGTTCACATGTGTGCAATGCTTAGGAAGAGCTATGCACATTAAGTTCAAGGTGTTGGTCCTCGTGCTCAAAGCCTTCTATACAGCTTGGTCCTAAAAGACGGTCTCACCCTTTATATAACCAACGAACTACTGCACTCGGTAGGAGAGGGCCTCTTGCGAACACTTATCTCAACACTTATCTCTGTTCCATACCATGTAGGAATTGAGTTCTTAGTGTGGCAGCATCTATCCTTTGGAACTCCCTCCCACTGCATATCAGACAGACACCATCTCTATTGTCTTTAGGGTGTTGCTGAAGACCTTCTGATTTTTCAACAGTTCTTTTAAGTGGAGATTGTTTTGCTCTTATATGAGAAACTGTCTTAGTTGTTGATTTTTTACTGTTACTTGAGATTTTTTACTGTTACTTGAGATTTATGAAAAATGAAATACATTTTTTATGTACTTCTAACATTACTGGATGTTCCAACCTTGGAAGGAAGTAATCTTTTTTCAAGGTACAATCTGAGGGGATATAAAAGCACAAGAGGAACCTTGCCGGATTGGATAAAGAACCATCTAGTCCGGCATTCCGTTTCCAAAGTGACTAACCAGATGCCTGTGGGAAGTTTGCAAACAGAACACGAGTACAACAACCCTCCCACATGATGCAACCACTTGCTGAAGCTGAGGTGGTTTAGGTCTGGTCTGCTTTGAGCGTTATGGAAGAAATGTGGGGTATAAACGTGCTAAATCAGGGATGGGGAACCTCTGACCCTCCAAATGTTGCTGGTCTCCCAACTCCCACAGGTACCCCAACCTTGTATTAAGAGCCCTTAACTCTGACCCGAAGGCATGTGGTTACTTTCCTGCAAAGGGAAGGCACAGAATGCATGGTTAGAAACACTTACCTTCCTCTATCCAGATCCTGGGCGTGAGCCCTAGTGATAGCAGACACTATAAAGCCCTTAAGAACTTAGGACCAGTTTACCTATAAGATCGCGTTACCCTAATCAACTCATCCAATGGATGGAATTGGCACTACTACAGGTGCCGTACCCATTCCACATTTGTAAGAACTTGGCTGTTTAGCATGCCCACGCCTGCACTTTGGAACTCCCTGCCTACTGAGCTCAAGCAGGAGCCCTCACTGTACTCCTTTTGTTATAGTGAGGGCTCCTGCTTGATCTCAAATAGGTACAGGCTGTTTAGACAAGCCTACCCCACCCAGATACTTAGAAGTTGATGCCACTTTTAATCCGTTTTAGCATTTTAACTTGATTCTGCCATTTCGTATTTTTGAGGTTTTTGGTTTGTTTGTCTATTACAACCAAGCTGTGTATACATTTTATGAAATGAAGCAATACCACCACTCTATTTTGCCTTGGTCAGACCACACCTGGAGTACCTCTGTGTCCAGTTCTGTGCACCATAAATTAAGAAGGATATTTGACAAGATGGAACATGCGCAGAGGGGGGAGACCAAGAGGATCCAGGGTCTGGAAACCAAGCCTTATGAGGAACGGTTGAAGGAGCTGGGTATGTTTAGCCTGGAGAAGAGGAGACTGAGAAGAGCGAGACGACCCTCAGGGTCCCTTCCAACTCTACCATTCTATGAAAATAAATATTCCAGCGGCAGAGCTGAATTCGACTTCGTAAACAGAGAAAGGAAAAGGCGGCAGGAGAAACAGCTGAGGGCTGGGAGGTGTCAGATCTGCCCGGGAGCCCCCAGAGTGCATGAGATCCCTTCACAGCCATCTATACGATACGATAATCTTTGTCATTGTCCCATACAGAACAACAAAATTGAAAAAAATCTACATCAAACATTCAAAACCCAACAAGCCTGCTATCCCAGCCTTGTTAGTCCCCTAAAAACTCCATACCCCATAATAAAATACAATACACTCCTGCACAGACTGCCTTAAATGTAAAGGTAAAGGGACCCCTGACCATTAGGTCCAGTCGTGGCCGACTCTGGGGTTGTGGCGCTCATCTCGCTTTATTGGCTGAGGGAGCCGGCGTACAGCTTCCGGGTCATGTGGCCAGCAGGACTAAGGGTTCTGGCGAACCAGAGCAGCACACGGAAACGCCGTTTACCTTCCCCGCCCCCCAGAGTGATACCTATTTATCTACTTGCACTTTGACATGCTTCCGAACCGCTAGGTTGGCATAATTAAATACAATACACTCCTTTAGAGACTGCCTTACACTGTGTTTAAAACCAAAATCGCATTTGGATAGAAACTGTTTCTCAGGCGGCTAGTCCTAGTCTTTAAAACCCTGTACCTTCTTCCAGAAGGCAGAAGCTGAAAGAGAGCTGCGCTATCTTGCAGCTTTCTTATGGCACCTGGAAGCGTAGATTTGATCCAGGGTGGGAAGAGTGCACCCAATTATTCTCTCCGCAGTCTTTACAACCCTGGACAGCATCGTTTCCCCCCTGACCGTGCAGCTCCCAAACCACACACAGAGACCATAAGTTAATACACTCTCCACAGTGTACAATGGTAAAATGCCATCAGCAGGGCCTTTGAGAGGTTATTTTAGCCTGTGCTGTGCTCTCTTCATCCTGGAAGGGACCCTCGCTGCCCTCCGACCCCCCACCCGCTCCTGCCGCCCTCGGCCTCCTTCCTCCAGGCCAGGTCCTCCCGGTGGCTCCTCTCCGCGTCGCCCCTGGGCTTGGGGCGGGCGAGGGCTACACCCAGGCAGCGGCCCACACCCAGCTCGGGCCTCGGCCCCTGACTCAGCATCCCACCGCCCGGGAGCAGCAGGACGAGGGATACCTGGAGGCTGCATTCCCGGCCCTGGAGCGCCTTCACCGTAAGCAGCATCTCGGGACCCCGCAGCTCGGAAAGCCAGAAGCGGCCCCTTTAACTGAACCATAGACACGCGCGGAAGAAGCTGTCCGGAAGACAGAGCGGCGCGGCGAAGGGAAGCTACGTAGGCGGAAGGAAGCCGCCGAGGCCTCTCATCTCGACGGGGGCCGCACGCGCACTGAAGCTGCCAGAGAGAGAAAGCGGCCAGAGAGGCGGAAGTTGAGTCTGCAGGAGGAGCGCAACAGCCGAGAGACCGGAAGGCGGCGGGCGCGGCGAAACCCAACCTCTTTCGCGTCATATGAAACTCTATGATGCAAAGGCTCACGTGCCCGGGAGTGATTAACCATAGAGTGGAGGTGGGGTAGAGCGGGAATAAGGGAGACTCGGGGTCGCCGCCTGAGAGACTTTAATAAGATGCTTAGAAAGCGGAGGTAATTTTATTTTCATTTTCGGTATTTTAACTTGTGTATGTTTTAAAGTAGGGTTGTGAGCCCCCTCCCCGATTCTGTTGTTTTATCTTTTTGTAAACCGCTTTGAGGGTTTTTGGGGTGTGTAAATTTTATGAAAATTAGTTGATTGATTTCAGGTTGTAGATCGCGGCTCTTAAAAATCTGCCAAGCGCGGGGCGAAATCAGTAGAAATGAAGCCCATAGGAGGAGGAGCCAATACAAAAGGCCGAAATCCAGGCGGACTCGAAGCTTTCCTTCGTTGAAGTGCTTTGAAATAAACCCAGTAGTTGTGCCGCCAGGGCCTTGCAGAGCCAGGCAGAGGCCCGAGCCAGCCAGATAATGTGCCCCCCCCTTTTTTTTACCCTGGGGATAACTGAAGTCTTATAAATAAGTAAGTATATAAATAATTTTCACAAGAGTTATGCTGACAAATAATTTTATTTCAAGGCTTGAACCGTATCTGCATATAAAGACAAAATGGAAAATATAGATAAATATGCTGACCGAGGCCCCCTTTGGAATCGGAGGCCCGGGCCATGTGGCCCATATGGCCACTCCTCCGTATGGGCCTGTGGGCCGCCTCTCAAAGCACAAAAGAAGCTAGAAAATGTCACTCTGTCGCTCTGTCTCTCTCTCTCTGGGCAGGCTCACTCACTCACTCACAGGGGTGCCAATGTCCTGGGAGCACCCATAAAATTCCACGTGAAGGGGCCGGGAACCCACAAATTTCAGTGCCAGGACCATGGACGCTGCAGCACCCACAGAGCCAAGCTGACACTCCTTTACATCGTGTGTCTGTCATGTGTCTATAAAACACTAATGATGAACTTCAGTAGGTTGGTCCCGACTTTCTTTCCTCTGCTATGGAGAGAGCAAAACATTGAGTTTTGTTTTTTTCCCTTCCAAAAAACAAAAAAATACAAAGGGGTCCCTGACACACACACCAGAGCACATTCAGTGGACTCGCCTGTGCACTTGCCTACAAAACTGGTGGTTCTAATTTGTGAAAGCATGTATCATATCTATAATTTTGCCTTTACAAGCCATCTGCTCTTTTTGCTGGCCAGGCAAGTGCTTCTTTTTAAAGTTTTCGTGCATGAGTCCCATCAGGGAAAAAGGCAGGTAAGTAAATAAATAAATAAATAAATCCAACTTTAGCATTGTCAGCAAGCTGTTGTATTCATAACCTGCCTACGGACTTCCCATAGGCATGTATGTAGTGGCTGTCGAAAACAGAATGTTGTGTTAGAGAAGGCATTAGCATGATCCGGTAAGGCTTTTTTATTACTGCATTGCAGGGGGTTATACTAGATGACTCTTGGGGTCCCTTCCAACTCTACAGTTCTATGATTCTCATGCTGTTATCATCCATCCCAACCCCTCTTACTTACCTTTTTCATAAACCAAAAGGTACTACAGTGGTAACTTGGAAGTCCAACGGAATCTGTTCCGGAAGTCCATTCGACTTCCAGAACGTTCAGAAACCAAGGCATGGCTTCCGATTGGCTGCAGCAAGCCACGTCAGATATTCAGGTTCCAAAGAACATTCGCAAACCGGAACACTCACTTCCAGGTTTGTGGCTTTCGGGAGCAAAAACATTCAACTTGCAAGGCGTTCAGGATCCAAAGTACACCTGTAATCTATATAGCCTTTCTTCATGGGGAAGTGTTCCATTTTGATAAATTGGGCTGCCTTTTTCTCCGTAAAACCTTTTCTTCTTAACAATCAAAGATGAAGCAGGCTCCTCTAGCAAGCGATACAACTTTTTGGGAGTGAACGGGCATGGTTATTTCAAAACACTTGTACAAAATGGGAACATAACTCAGCCCTGCTTTAAAAGTTTGCTTCGTTTCCTAAGCCCCTTCACTCTGAGTGTGCTAATTACACTGGAATATGGGCAGCATGGAACACTTGGCGATATTGTTATATCTCTCCAATAACGTTAAGACACTGGTTAGCAGAGAAACGAGATCACAGAGATCCAGAATTAGATACAGGTAACCAGAACAACTTGGTCTATGAAGACTGGAGCAACTACTAGGAACATATCTATGTCCATGTTAGTGGTTTCATTTTCTGGGTATGTCTCCTGTTCATAATTTTGGACACTGTCACATAAAAATTCCACTTTCCATTTTGGTTTCCACCAAAGCCATCATTGGTGGGAACCTGATTTATGTTTTGTAAAGCAGATGTTTGTGTGATAACTTGTATGCAGGAATTTGTAATAGCTCTAAGTGAATCTGTAATATTACTAATTGATTTGCTTTGTTAGGTGATTTGTTATATACATTATTTATAGCCAATTGCTGTTAGACTGGCAATGTGAGCTGGTTTTGTATTTTATATATTGTACAGTGGACGCTTGGGTTACGAACATGATCCGTACGGGAAGCACGTCTGCAGCGCCGCGTCTGCACACGCATGGGTTGCAATTTGGCGCTTCTGCACATGCGCCGAAACCTGGAAGTAACCCGTTCCGGTACTTCTGGGTTTGGCATGGTGCGCATCCTGAAATCGTGCAACCCGAAGCATCTGAAACCCGAGGTATGACTGTATATTATATATTTCCCTTGGTCAGTGTGCCGTTCTGGAAATAAGTATCTTACCTTTGGCTTCAGTCGAGAGAACACTAATTATGGAACAGGACAACCACACTTAAATGGCCCTAATTCTTTCCTTTTGGATTGGGTCATGTAAATACAGTATTTCTTTATAAAAAAGGAGCTCACAGCCTCCTGAGGGAGATTGTTCCATTGGTCAAACAGCTCTTACTGTTAGGAAGTTCTTACTGATGTTTAGACATAATCTCCTTTCTTCTAACTTGAAGCCATTGGTTTGAGTCCTAGCCTCTGGAGCTGGAGGAAAAAAAGCTTGCTCCATCTTCCATGGGACACCACATTAAACATTTGAAGATGGCTATCATATTTCTTTTCAATCTCCTCTTTTCCAGGCTAAACATGCCCAACTCCCTCAACCATTCCTCATAAGGCTTGGTTTCCAGACCCTTTATTATCTTGATTTATTATTTCAGATTATCGATATCCAATCTAATCCAAATCACTTTATTGTACTAGCCATTGGCCATGACAAATCTGAATCAAAAATAAATACAAGCAAAAGGGGTGTTGAGCAACAAATAATGGTCTCTATTTATATCTCTGCATCTACCTGTGTATCCTTAAATTGTAGTACCTGGAACTGCACACAGTACTCCAGGTGTGGGCTGATCAAGGCAGCATAGAGTGCTATTATGATTTCCCTTGACACTATACTTCTATTGATGTAGAAGATATTTTTGCTGCTGCATGAGACTATTGACTCATATTAAGCTTGTGGTCTACTAAGGCCCCCAGATCCTTTTCACAAGCTGTTAAGAAGGTAGAGGGGAATCAATAATAATTATTTAGAATATTCAAAGATGTATAGAATAATAAAGTAGAAGATGTATGTTAATGTAAAGAAAAAGTTGATGTGTACCTGGAATTTTAAATTGCAATAAAAATCATTTTTTAAAAAATAAATCAAACCCTCCCAAGAGTCCAGTGGAACAGGCAGCAGTAACCCAGTTGCTACAGGGGCAGGGGTTCAAGTCCCCTTATAGCACACACTACACACAAGCAGCATTTCTGAATACCAGACTGAAACAGAAGGAAGGAGGGATCATAGGTACATAGGAAGCAGCCTTATACCGAGACTGCACACCCCCATACATTTTAAGCATATTTAAATCACATGGCTTCCTCTGAAGAATCTTGGGGACAGTAATGTGCCCCTCCCAGAGCTACAGTTCCCGGCACCTTTAGCAAATTACAGTTCCAGGATTCTTGGGGAAAGCCATGTAATATAAATGTGCTTCAAAAGTATGACATGTATGCAGCTTCAGTATAAGGCAACTTCCTACGACCTTCCTTTCTTCATATTGGACTTTTCAAATTGCCATTGCCAGTTCTACTGTCATGTTCTAGAAAATACTTTGCTGTCAGCATGGCATCAGCAGTTTTGAGAAGTTCACAACATAGATATAAAGGAGGGCCTAGGAAACATTTTATTTGCATAAATCCCAAGCCCAGCAGAACAACTAGTGGTGCTGTTTAAATTGTAGTTTTCTAGTTGGTTGGTCATCAAAGGCCCACTAAGGGCTCATCCACACTTCCTTTTGTGCCATGTTTCCATGGATTGCCATTTGGTATGATTCAGCAGTGAAATGCTGGTTTTCCTGGGGAAAGCACCGGGGGAAAATCCTGCTCAGACGCAGACCTGGAAAGCCCAGACCTCTGTCTGGAAAGTGCATAGCAAAAGTAAGTGTAGATGAGCCCTAAGTGAGCTTCATGGCTGTGTGAGTATTTGAATTGGCATTTCACCAGTTCAAGCCTATTCTGTCTACCATGGCGAGCTAATTAACACATGGATTGAACAACAGGAAGGGAACAGCACTGGGATCTGAGGCAGGTAAAATCTTATTACCACAATTAGCCATGTCCCTTGGGATATTGCTACAGCTGTCTGCCAGGAAGGCACAGCCAGGTAGTACTTCAGAAAGATATCTGCAGAGGGGTGAAACTTGGGCTGGAACAAAAGATACTGGAATCTGAAACACAAAGTTTTTCAGTTACAGACATTGTAGCATATTGATCAGCTAATTAACACATCTATTGTGATTAAAAAACAAACATCTCTGATCCGATTCAATTGACAAGTGAATCAATCGAGACAGTTTCAACATCAATAAATAGCATTGCACATAAATACCTGTGCCAGAGGAATAAGAGTTTTAAAACTGATATTTGAAATACCTACAGGGTCGCCAACTTGGGCCCTCCCAGTACTCCTCTAAGACCACCCAGGCCTTCTCTGGAGCCCAGTGTCCACCTACCCTCTCCCTGCTGAAATTAACCTTGAAACAATCACTTCATTGTGGTCAATAGAATAGAAAGTTGCCTTCTACTGAGTCAGACCCTTGGTACATCTAGCTCAGTACTGTCCACACTGACTGGCAGCTGCTCTCCAGGATTCCAGGTAGGGTTCTTTCCCAGCTATACCTGGAGATGCCAGTGGGGATTGAACTTGGGAAAGCAGATGCTCTACCACTGAGCGATGGTCCTTCCCCAATAGGCTGCCTTGTATGCAAGGTTTCTCCACTTTGCAAATGTGTCCACATGCTCCAAAAGCTTGGCAACCTCTGTAAAGACTTAGTGAAATGTCCCCCCACCCCCTTTGTATTTTTTTCATGTGTTAGGAGATGCTTGTAGTGGCCAGACAGGGACAGTGTTTTTATTCTTTCAGAAATAAAGCCAATCTGCTATTTGTGAGTCTCACTGTATTCCATCCATTAATGCTGCTGATATTGCGGAATAATCTTCCACTGTTGTGGCATATATGTCTCTAGTTACAGAGGGAGAAGGTGTTTTTTCTTTTGTAAACTGGAGGTAATTACAGAGTGTGATCTTATCTCATGGAAATTTCCTGTCTACAGTGCCACTGCAGGCGTGTGCATGCACGCACAGGTGTGTCGAGCGGATTGCATTCCACCTGCCCTGTCAAGTTAGATTAACCTTGCCCTCAAATTAGTTCTCTTCATTCCTTTCCACTTATCAGTCTCTCTTTCCTTTTTTTTGCCTCTGACCTGACTCAAAGGATAATAATATATAGGTATTTGTGGATAATTTATCTGTGCGCATGATGGGAGCATGTGCTGAATAGCCTGTATTTTTGGATTCAATATCTTAGGCAAAGCAACAAAAGAAAAAGAAATGCCAGACTTAGACATGTTATGATTGCATTTCTTAGTTTTAAAAACAAGTGGAGGCATTGCCACGATACAACGTCCAATCCAATTGCCTGGCTGGCAATACCACTCCAAAGAACATCTGAGGTAAAGCTCCACCACCTTGAAGTCCGGTTCTCAGAAATAAGCATTACGGTTCTATAACTTCCCCCAAAGAAAAGCTTGATGGGGTTTCTTGCACCTTTTACAAATGCATAATAAATGTATTTGCACAAAATGTTTATATTTTTGCTTTCATTTATTGAAAAATCAGAGCTCAGCAGTTGTAGGCTGGGGATTGAGAAAGACCATCGAAGCTCTATGCATGTGGGGAGTACAAGATGAAGAGATTTGTAGAACTATTCTAAAACTATGAGCCACTTCCCCACAATCTATCAACCATCCACTGGTCATCATCTGATTACGGGATATTCCACATTATTCAAGATTTTAGGAGTGGGTGTAGAATATGGGGAGAGAAGCAAGAGTTTTTAATGTGGGCATGCTTATCTTCAGATAAATAAGTCTTATTCCTTAACCTACAGAAGAAAAATCAATGAGGAGCTTTGATTCCCCACCCCCATGGGTCAGTGGCCAGAGGGACACATTTGAAAACATGAATCAGGTTGGCCAGTCTGATCAGTACCTTCAGTCAGCTCACCTCATTTAAGAGGCTGTCCAGTGCTCTGAAAGTGCAAACTGGGCTGCATGTAAAGGAATCCTGAGAACTGCAGCTTGTTAAGATGCTTTGCGAAGTGTAAACTGCAGTTACCAGGATTTGGGGTGTGGGGGCTTTGAATATATGGTGTGTACCCAGCCCTGACCTGCGCTTTCAAAGGTATTCCTCCTGAAATGAGTTGGGCAATATCTTGCCTGAGAAGAACTCCTCACCTTTGTAGCTCCCCTGTGTAAATAGCCACAGAGGCTTTGGCAGGAGCCGCTTATGCCCTTCAGCCATTTACTCCCAATTGCTAATCTACACATTTTATTTATTTGTAGAAACAGATGCTGATATGGAATTAATAATAATATACTTATATGGAACCACTGTTTTTGTGTTAACATAGTCACAGAAACTCCTAAGCCAAACTACAAATTTCAACCTCCTTTGAATGGCTGTCTACACATCACAACCACTAACGCTGTGGGAACTAAGAAAGATATCAAAGGGGGGAAATAAGCAAAAAGGCCTCATAAAAACTTCCCCAATAAAAACTTTTATTCCAACACATGAGTGTCCCCCCATCTTGCCTTTCAAGCCCTATCTCATACTCCCTTCACGGGAAGTAGAGGAGTTTAGAGGATATGGGATTTTTCTTTTATCAGCAGGGGTGGGGAAGTATTAGTCAACCACTTCTACTTCGCAAAGCACAATATGGCAGTCCTGCTAGTTCTGCCCCTTCAACAGCCTACCTTTGGGTACACGTGGCACTGTAGGTGGGCTCTACCAAGTGGCCTTCATGCCAACACTTTTTTCTTTTTAATCTGTGAAGCCTATGTTAATAAAGACATTGCCCAGAAGCTCTTAGGTGAGCAGGTTCCAGCTCTGCTACCCAACGGGGCTGCTGAGTGGAGGTGTTGGTAAAATTGATGCAGACATCCTGGAAGAGCAGCTCTATCTGGGCTGACATGGGATATGCGAGGAGGAGAGAAAAACACGACACCTGACCACAAAGAAGTTATTTCGAGAGTGGAAAGTAACCGTCCTCCAACACCCACCTCTAAGTAATGGAAATAGCCAAGCAAATCGACAAAGATAATGCCCAGCAATGGATTAAAGGATACGGGAGCTCTACGACGACTGAATTTGAATTCTATACATCTGATGCCCTTAGGCAACCCTCATCCACAGATGTGGAACCGTTATGAACATCCTGCTAATCCCACAATTTTCATTAGTTGAAACGCCCCCCCTGACCATTTCCAGAATGCATCTATGATACCACTTCTCCTTTTCATTTAACTTCCTCTTCAAAGCTAGATTACAACTTCCATCACGCACACCCCGACCATGACTCAAACTTACAATGTAATCCTATGCATATTTACTCAGAAACAATTCCCACTGAATTTCAATGAGGCCTACTCCATAGTGCGGGTAGGATCGCAAACATTAGCTAGTACTCATTCTTACTGCCCTATCAAACAATGAAACAAACCATTCCATGAAGACTTTTGGAGCAGAACATGCCTCTCCCCACCAAGCGTAGAACAGAACAGGCGTCTCCTTACCTCTCCTTAATACTTACAACACAGAAGGGGCTCTCAGTTTAGGTGTGTGGGGGGGTGTGTGTGTGTCCTACTCTACTCCATTCTCTGCCTGATTGTTAATCCATCTCCAGCACTGTCCACCCAACCAGGCAGTGCAGGGGAGGGTGAGGGGGGTGATGAAAGGGAAAGTGGTCCACAAAATGGATTTGGGGCCATAGTTGAAAAAGTAGATTGAAGCTGACGGGTGAGAAGGGCAGTTTAGTAGTAGTAAAGTCACTGTTTTCCTCTGGCACAAGATCAAACACCTTTAATTGAGACACTCAACGCAGCAAACGATCACTGCCCTCAGAACAAACTGTGCTGGACAAGAGGACTGGGCACAAATGTCACCACCCTCCACCATGTCCCCTGTGGTATGCCAGACCCAGCCAGCCTGGAAATAGTGAAAGGCAGCAGACTGTGATCTATACTCAGCAGGCATTCTGCATGAGTAGCGAGAGCTGAAGTTGAACTAGCTCAGAGGTGGCCAACGTGTGGTTTTCCCACTGTTGTTGGATTTTAGCTCCCTTCATCCCTGACCACTGGCCATGCTGGAGCCGGAGGCCAACAGGTTAGTGCCTGCTGTACTAGGAGGATACTGAATGTTGATGGAGCAGAGCTGGCTCTTCACAGGCCAGAGGTAGAGTCCCTTTTGTTCAGACTGCTGAGTGACAGAATGGTCTGCATATACTCTTCCTCACTGCCTCCATTTAAAAAACTTGTTTAACACTGCAAAAATATTAATAAGAAATTTGTTTATCAGAGACAACAGTAGAGGGGATGCATATATATTCTTACACACACTTATGCACACACAGGGAGGGAGACTACAATGTCCCTCTCATATTCCCTGTAATTCTCTGGAAAAAAACAATCACCCAACTCCAAACTTTTTTTACTTCATTATATAAAAAGCAAAGGTAGCCATCTCGGTCTATAAGAAAACAATAATAATAATCCAAAATCCACAGTTGGGCAACACCTTTATTAGTTCCTACAAGTGACATTTTGGTTGGCCATAATAAAAGGCATCACACAAGTGTGGATTTTGGAGTTTTTATTTGTTTCTGACATTTTCAGCCAAGCCTTCAAACACATTTCAGGGGCACTAGCTTTTTTTAAAAAATGTGAAAAAATCCTCCTAGGCTGCCTCCACGTCTGCCCATCACTCCACAAAGCCCCATTTCTGCAGCTCCTGGAAGGAAATAAGAAGAAAGACAGCCACACAGAACATATTATCTCTTTCGTTTTATTCAAACCCTGTATCCCTGGTGAATGGGAGAGAAGAAATGGGTCAGTTCCACCCCCCATCTTCCACCTCACAGTCAGTACAGCTCTAGCTCTAAGCTCCAGAGGCACCACTCGCTGTGTAGAAAAACAAGTAGACAAGAAAAAAGAAAACAAAAAGGCCAGATGATGTGGATTCCTAGCACACAAGCAGCCTCTGGGAGGTGTGTGCTTCTCACTTCAAAGGGCCCCTTTGGTACCCAAGCCACCCCTTGGAAGGTTGAGAGGCTGAGGCCTTGGAATCCGCACCCCAGGGATGGGGGAAAGCGCCCCAAGACCAGCTTCTAAGGCCTATGGTATCCGTCTCTTCTTGCAGGCCACAGCCAATGTTTTGACATCTTTGGTATCTGCCTCCCCTCACCCAGAGCACTCAGGAGCCAGCAGAACAGAGTCTGCTGTATGCCAGGTTCCCCAAAACCAGCAGCAACATCTCTGAAGTGCTGCTCAGGGCCACGATGAAAGGAGCCTGCGAGGCAAAGTCAGCCTGGGCCCGCTGGAAGGAGAGCTGCAACACAGCCAGAGCCAGCAGGCTGTTCTGTACCCCAACCTCAATGCTAACCGTCCGGCGCTGTGGCCCAGGCAGCGCTAAGCACCAAGCTAGCAAGTAGCCCAACAACAGGCCAAAGAGGGGCACAGTGACGCCCGCCAGCACAATCGGGGCCTGCACATTCGCCAGGATAAAGGCGCCCATGTGGTACGCCATGAAGAGTCCTCCTATAATGAGGGTGAAGCTGAACGGCTTGATCAGGAGCAGCAGGAGGCGGGCGAGGCGAGGCAGCTTGCACTTGACCAACATGCCAGTGGAGATGGGCACAGCGATGAAGAGCAGGGTGATGAAGATCTTGAGGAAGGGGACGTGGAGAGTCTCGTGGGCACCCAGCAACCAGCCGTAGAATGTCGAGGACAGCGGCATCAGCCCCGTGGCTGCAATTGTGGACAGGAGGGTCATAGAGATGGCCACGGTGACGTCGCCACCCAGCAGCAGACTGTACAGGTAGCCGCCGCCACCGCCAGGTGAAGAGCAAGAAATGACCAGTCCCAAGGCCAGCGGCTTAGGCAAGGAGAAGGCCACGGACATGAGGTAGCCATACAGTGGCATGACCACAAACTGGCCTAATATGCCTAGCATGACCGGGTGGGGTTGGCGCACCAGGTTCCACAGAACCTCCACTTCCACCTTGCAGCCAAATGCACATTTGTTGAGGAAGATGAGAGGCAGGAGAGCATAGAGGATGGGGTTCTCAGAGAAGTGGCCCAGCCCTGACGATGCCACCGGCTCTGGAGCACTGACACGGATCTGGAAATCGGCTTTCTCGATAAGTCGGTTCTGCTCCAGCAGCTGCAGCTGCAGAGGAGCTAGGCCAGCTAAGCTGGACTGAAACCCAACCATAAAACCTCCTCCCCAGGAAGCACTGACGTTCTCAATGGCAACAACGGTAGGTTCCAGAGATTCCGCGCTCAGCCAAGCGTTGGGCCCTGAATAGCGGCAGGAAACCAGCAAGACACCACGGCTGTTTGCAGGGAAGTCAAATTCCAACGCTGTCCCGTCCCCCACACTAAGGTAAGGGCTGTCAGCAGTCGCTCCCTGAGCCCAACCAGCCACCAGCAGGTGGAGAAAGAAGAGGGCTGCCCCACCCATGGCGCAGCTGGCTGGCAAAGTCATGTAAAGGATTCATTCCATGCAGAACTTCTTTCCCTCTCCAGCATGGACAAAACATGGATTCACTGGGCAGGGGTCATCCTCCTTTTGGGCTCAGGTCCAAGGGCACCCTCTGCTGATGCAACAGTGATGGCGCAGAAGCATCCAACCTAATCAGGGAGTGGATAAGGAGGCAGAGTGTTCAAGCACACTGCACAGTGTTCACCTACAAGGAAATAAACATTGGTTAATTAAGAATTAAATTAAGAGGCACACACACCATGACCAAGTAAACCACTTCATCTGATCTCCTACCAGGGGTCAGCAAACTTTTTCAGCAGGGGATCGGTCCACTGTCCCTCAGACCTCTTGGGGGGACTATATATATATATATATATATATATATATATATATATGAACAAATTCCTATGCCCCACAAATAACCCAGAGATGCATTTTAAATAAAAGCACACTTTCTACTCCTGTAAAAACACCAGGCAGGCCCCACAAATAACCCAGAGATGCATTTTAAATAAAAGGACACATTCTAGTCATGTAAAAACATGCTAATTCCCGGACCGTCCGAGGGCCAGATTTAGAAGGCAATTATGCGAGATTTGGCCCCTGGGCCTTGATTTGCCTACCCATGTCCTAACCCAAGGAAGGGTATTCTGGGCCTATAGCAATGTGACACCCTCCAGACGTTGCTGCACTCCAACTCCCATCAGCCCCAGCCAACGGCCAGTGAGTTTAGCTACTCTTGGCCTAGAGCATCCCAAGTGAGGGTTGTCATAATACAAACTGCAGAACCCTCTAATCTTTAACAGTCTTGCAGCCACAGATCCTCCTGTTCCACTGCTCCCTCCATTCCCAACAACTGGAACAAGGAGGGCTCTCATTCATTTGACCCTAAGGCAGGAAGGCCCACAGAGTGGGTGCTGAGACAATGAGCATGGCCAGGAAACCCCATCTGGGGGCAATTTCACAGGCTGTCTTGAATACGGGAGGGTGGATGACATAATCAGGATTATGAGAGGGGCAGAGGGATTGCCAGAGTGCTCCCAGTCTATGCAACCCTTTGCTCAGCAGAGCTAATCCAATAAAAAGGCAAGCTGGGCAACCTACTGGGGCACCCAAATTTCAGGGGTGCCTGCCCCAGATAGCTAAACAATGGTATGAAGAAGCGCCTGCCTGCACTTTCAAGCTAGGCAGCAGCCCAGTAACCCTCAGACCTTCATTGGCTGCCCTGTGTTAAAGGTAAAGACAAGCATAACAATCAGTGCGTCAACATTTCAACTTGCCTAGGGCAGCGATAATACACGGGGCAGCCCCAAATTTATCTTTTCTTAAAAACCTGACAAGGAAGTACCTTTTCCCTTAACCTCCCTTTTAAATTCAGCAGATAGTTTTTAAAAGAGAGAACCTTGCCACTTCCCCTATGCAGAGAAAGACAATGATTTCCCCTGTCTTCCCATCTCAGGATTGTTTTAAATAGCACCAGGCTTGCCATAAATGTACTCGCTCTAGGTGTGTTCCATTTGTTTTGGCTTGACCTCCTACAATTTCCCTTTATATCTGAGGTGTGTATGTTTTTAAGCTGCTCTGTCCAGGCCTGAAGTGTTTCCAACTCCTCGAACATTTTTAAAGCCCACGAGGGCAAGGTGTTTCCCACAGGAATTGGCCCACCACCCATTGCACTCAGTGGCCCCTTTGGCAGAGGGAGGGCGCGCGTGGGAGCGAGAAGGGGGCAGGGAGATGCAGGGGAGAAGGAGGCGCAGGGCACGAGCAGCCCCCCCGCTTTGCTCTCCTGCTTCCCCTGCAGTTCAGCTGAGTCACTTCTCTCTCCGAGCCATAAACACCTGTTGGGAAAGAGCCCGCTGGCCACAAAACTTGCTTTCTCTCTCTTGCCCCGTTTTTTCTTAGGCAAGAGGAAAAGCTCGCAGCCCTCTCGCAACACTTTCCTCCAAACCGATTCCACTTTCCCTGAAAGGGAGGCGGCCCGTCCCTTCACCCCCCCCCCAGTGCGTCCTCTTATCTCCCTCTCTCCCTCCCCCTGCCAAAAAACCCGCTACAAGAGTCTTACCAAAGAAAGACCCCCCCAAAGTCAGCAACGATCCAGCAAGAGCCTTGGGCAGCTGCCCCCCTCCCGATTATCTGCCCAGCGGTCAGTTAAACAAGTCCTCTGCAAAGGAGCGCTCAGGGAAGCCGCGATCCTCAGCCCGAAAATCTGCCCTGGTCTGACCCCTCCGCCTCTATCGCGCTCCCACCGCCTCACCTGCCGCCGCCGCCGCCGCCGCCCAGAGCTGAACTCGCCGCTGGATTTGGTTGCGTTCTCCTCCTTCCTTCCTTCTTCCTTCCTTCCTCTCCGACTCCGCCCCCCGGGGGTGGCGGCGCATCACAATCATAGCCCCGCCCACACCAACTGAATGCGAATTCATGGCAGGATCACCCCGGGAGTTTAGCAGGGCATGCTGGGATTTGTAGTCTCCCCCCGCAAAAAATAAATAAATGCTCTTTAGGCGCAGAGAACAACAGGAAAAACACTTCGGATCTGGTATAAGCAAGAAGAATTCCCTGCCATGCGCTGGTTGGTTGGCTTGTGTGTGTTTTTAAATCTCAGAGAGCAGCAGGAGGCATTAAGCTCCCTCTGTGCCTCGATAAATAGGATCATAGGGGCACTCTGGGTTCTGATTGGAGGAAGTGGACAACCACGTCTGTCCTAAATGGGAGATTAATAGTTACATTCTGCTCCGTTTAGCAAAAACCCTTTGCCTGGTTGGCTGGATCAGAAACTCGCTGAGCGCTGATTGGAAGAAACGGATGCACTCCACCGCTAACTATCTCAATGGGATTAGGCGGTGATGTGATGGAAAGGATTATGCTCATCCTTTTATTCGATTGGGCAATTTAAAGGCCTTCTATCCTCGGATTGATGGGATTGAGAGGCTTTTTGCTCTGCTGGGATTACGGATTCACTTGTATCAATTAAATGCATTTAGTTAGAGTATTTCCTGTGCTCAAGCAGAGGGTTTGGGATTATTATTTTTATTCAGGGATGATGAGAGGGAGGACTTTAATCATTGTTCCCCTTGTGCAATGTTGTGGGGAAGATAATGCTGCAAGGAAGAAAACCAAAAAGCAAGCAGAGTCCTCCCAATGCCATTTCCTGTCAGCTCAGTGACAATATGGCACCAGAGGATGTGCTAAGCAGAGGTTGATAGAAGATAATGGATGGAATTTAATATTTAGGATCTGGGATAGCTCAGTTGGTAGAACATGAAACTCTTAATCTTAGGGTTTTGGGTTTGAGCCCCACATTCAGCAAAAAGATTCCTGCATTGCAGGGGGTTGGAGTAGATGATCCTGGGACTCTCTTCCAACTCTAAGATTCTCTGTGATTTATATACCACTTCAGATTGCTCAAAGCACTTTACTCATCATGTCTTTTGCAATACTGTACGTATTTACCTGGGTGCTATCCCTATTTTACTAAACAGGGCTTGCTTCTAAATATATATGAAACATAGCTGTCAACGTTTCCCTTTTTTTAAGGGAAATTCCCTTATTCTGAATAGGATTCCTCGTAAGAAAAGGGAAAAGTTGACAGCTATGATATGAAATAGGATTGTACTATTAGCCACAAGACTGTATTGTTTCAACTTGCTACATTATGTAACTCACTCCAAACCACCACATTAAAGTGGAACAAATGGCACTTGATAACAATGGAGGCTTTTTCAAAACACATGGTTTACCTGTCTGTGTTTTTTTAAAATTTAAACATCTGTAGGGATTATGATTGGGACTGCAATCATAATTTTCCTTGTTTTATAGCTCCATCTCAATATATTTCCCTCCTGCTTTGTAGTCCCATCACCTATTAAAAGCTCCTATGATTAGGCCTTCAAAAGATGTAACAAGTATACCAATTTAACCACCTTAATGACTGGCAAGCTTGATTGCTGCAGTTCTAGTCTTTGTGCATCTGCGTTCCAGTCACTGGGGAAGAACAGCAGGAGGGGGCGATTGCCCTCATCCCCTTGTTATAGGACTGGGGGGACTGGTGGTCTGGATATCATCTGTGGGCAGAGGCATACCTAGGCTCCCTTGTGTCCTTGGCAAGGAACTGCATTGGTACACACACACACAGTCATGTGCACCTTTGGCAAGATGTTTTGGTGTGGAGAGGTGTGATTTTTGCACCCTTTCCTGGGTGGGGGCCAACCTAGCAGAGCCCTAGGTATGACCCTGTCTGTAGGTTCCCTCCAAGCCTGTAGTTTTATATCTGTAAAATGATATTCTGAAGAAAGAAAGGCTACTGAAGTAGTCAAACCAGTCTCTTAATAGCTCTAGCCAGGCCTGTTTAGCATCTCTTTGCATGACTAGGCAGTCCAAGTGACTAATTTGCTGCAGAAACTATGACTGGAGATGCTTTCAGAAGCTGAGCAAAAAGTGGACAGGTTCCCTGCCGCCACCGCACCCTTGAGGTGATGTCATCAGTGAATGTCGGAGGAGAGTTGATCATCAGCTAGGTCAGCTTTGGCTTTTGTGGAAGTCTGGAAACTTAATGGTGGAGCATGATGTGTTTGAGTGCTAATGCTGTGAACCTTTCCATCTTATACTCAACCTGTAGATGTGTGTAAATAAAACCATGTACTATAAAGATGTGTCTCTAGCATCCTTATTTCTAAGGGTAGCACACTCAAGGTATTGGTATCCCCGAGATCTCGTACCACTCAGGAGTTTAGCCTGCATGTAAAATCCCACTTGTGGACTTCCCAAGAGCAGAGCCATTACTACGGGGAGGCTAGCCAGGTTGTTGTTTTTTTGCCCTGGGTGAAGCCTCCAGAGGGACTCTATTGAGGCTCCCAGCCTGTGTGTGTGCAAATGCACATGGGGTGTGTTTGTTCCAAACAGGGTCTTTGACTCAGGTGAAATAAAGCCTAGTTTCACCCCCTGCCAAAGGCGGTCATTGTGGAGACAGGATGCCAGCTTACATAGGCCTTGGGTCTGATCTAGGTTGGTTCTTCTTACGTGTTTTGTCTGCATGGTAATGATCACTGTAATTGTGAGCAAAGATGAGGGACTCTGGTGGGCCAAAATAATTGCTTTAAAATTGCTTTCAGGGAAAGGGAGCAGGGGAACAAAAGGAATATTACCATGCAGACAAACTACTTCAATCCATTGCTTGTTGGTGCCCACTCAGAAGTCACAAAGCTGCAACAAAGCCCAGTTGAGGGAGACTACCAAGTACATGTCAATAGCAAAAAGTGTGAGGGGACAGAGAGAGGGAGACAGCTTAGGGGTGCCTTGAGCACCCTAGAGCCTGTGGCTAGTCTTGGAAAGCAGAATTGAGAAACCCCTGGTCAAATCCCAGAAGAGCTCCTGTCAGTAGATCAACTGTTCTAGGGGTTAGATGTGCCAGTTGTCCAACTCCATACAAGGCAGCTCCTTCTCTCCAGTGTGCTCACTTTGGTCACTGACACCAGCAGAAGGCAGAGCGAGCTCCATTGGTAAATCACTGGGTGAGAAGTTGGCAAGGTTTCTGACTCCCTATTGTTTAACAGTAATAACAATGGATTTTTGTATGGAAGGACTGTGAGCTCAGCTCAGTTCTGGCACTTAAACTAAATCCATTTGTTCAGCAGTGGCCCAGAGCCAGCATATTCTTAATTCTGTTTTTTGCACCAGGCTCCACTGACCATGAGACATGCTCCTGTGTCTTGCTCCTCTGATGCATCTTGATTTTCTGCAGCCCAAGGAACTTGTCTAAGTTCTTTTCCTCAAACCATTCCCATCCCACAAGGAATTTATTGCACAAGGCATGGCATGGTAGGTATTGTTTCTTTACTAACGAAAACTGATTGCAAATCTGTGTCTTAGATGACCATAAGTATGTGAAGAGCACCTGTAAACCCAAGGCAGCATATCTTTGTTTCCTTCCCCCCTTTCCAGCAGAAAGTGATTGACCCAGGTCAGCCTTCCACAACTTGGTACTCCCCAGAGATCATTGGGCTACAACTCCCATCATTGCTTATCACTGGCCAGTTGGGAGGTGGAGTCCAAAACATCTGGAGGACTCCAGGCTGGGGAAGGCTGCCCCAGGTATTGGCAATACTTGAAAGAATGGCTACCTATGGATCCAGAAGAATCACCATCCCGGGCAGGCAAAAGTTGAGATTACCTGGAACTTCTTCTGTAGGTACTGTCCGCGGACACCTTTTGCTCTCTGTTCAACAGGCAAAAGTGATTAGTTTAAGCTAGGCTTCCCTAAATGCTCTATTAAAACTGCACAACAGCAGTCATAGGATGCAGCCAGCCCAGCTTTTATGGACATGATCCAAGGAAAAACCACATGTTATTCACACTCTAGAAACATGTGTCGTGGCCACTATTTTAAAGAAAAAGCAGCTGCTGATCTGGATTGGGGCCCCAGTATTATTATTATTAAAATTGCATATTGCTCTTAATCTGTAGATCTCAGAGCAGTTCACAAGGTCCCATGCCAGTTTCCTAACCTAAGTCACCTTCCTCAGCTGCTATTTACCCTCAAAGGTGCCAATGAATGCAAACAGCACCTTTAAGGGCACAGTGATGTTGAGAAAAAAACCGATATGATAAGAAGCGAATACTGGAGTGGGGCAGTGGCTACTTTTTCTTCAACTTAAGTGGCTAGTTGAAGCTTTTTAAAAAAGAAGTGTGAGTAAAATCCAGTTTAGTCTTCAGCACAGAGACACAGGTATGTCCCTAGCATCAGGGTGATTGTGAGATTGGTAGAAGTGCTTCCCCCTTCTGGATGTTGCTCCCAGTTACAGAGGACAACAGGCTTGTCCACCCTGCTGCTTGTCCTGTGCTTTCTAGGCACAAGTCTGAGCAGTTTTGCCTTTGCCACTTTCCCCTGGAAATCCTACTCTTTAGCGCTCAATTGGAACAAAGGCAGCCCACAGAAAACCTGACTGCCATTTGTTCCAATTCAGGGCTAAACAGAGGGTTTTCCTGAGGAAAGTGCTGGGGCAAACTAAGGTGTGGATAAGCCCATCTGGTGGCAACATGATTTGGATCACCATAACTCTGTGCACAGTCTTACATTATGCTTGCGGTGATGAAAAACCTTGGACAGGGTACATGCTGGGGAGAAAGCAGGGGAACAGGTGAGGGAGAAGATAGTAAGCCCAAATCCTGGAAAAGGGCTAGAGAACCTTACCAGCTGTATTCAGCTCTAGGCAACTCAGTTGTGTGCAAAGCCAGAGGCAAAGGTGAGCAGGGCAAAGAATGTAAAGTTTTACCTCTGTACACTAGGCTAGTTTCTACTCACACTCTTCTTTGTTTTCCCTCCATCCAGGGAAGCAAGAGGCTTTATCAGAGTCAAGGACACATTCTAGCCAGGCTAGACAAAAACACTCAAGGAGAGCACAAAACAAGACTAGGAGGGGGTAGGGCTGGGAAGAGTCCCAAGGGAAGCATTTGTCTTCAGTCCCTAAGGTTCCCTACCCCAGCTATTAAAAGAGCTGCAGTAGCCCAGGTTCAGACATAGGTAGCATCCTTTCCTTCCAAGAATGTGTGAGCTGGGTCCTCCTACTGCAACAGGAAAGAAATTAGGATCCCACTCCCCAAGGGCAGATTAGGCGTTATCTGCAGTGGAAGGCCAAAATGCTGGTTGCAGACTCTACCTAAAGCAGGAATGGAAGAGTTTACAAGAGTGCAATCGCTCTCTTGGCCACTAATTGCGGATCCCAAGGGAACAGCACCGGTTCTGCTCTTGAAAGAACAACAATTAACCAGCAGCTGCTGTGCACATTGTTTATTGGAGATACCGTTTATCAACAAGTGTTCTGAAAAAAAGTAACTCAGCTTTGATTCCTTTCCACAACAATGTATGAACAGTGATCCATCTCCAATTCCCATCACAGTTGAAGTACCAACATTGTCTTTCAGGAAACAGCAACTTGACATTTTTCAAGAGATTCACCAAAACCAAAAAAAGGATTGTCCTTAATCCCCTTCCTCCTATATATTAGTGTCTGTAGTAGTGGAAGAACTAACTTAAACCACATAAACTATTGTAGAAAAGTAGTGGTCCCTTTAACGCAGGAATGAAGAACTTGTGGGCCTCCCAATGTAGTTGGGACTACAACTCCTATCACCCAATAACCACTGGCAGGGCTGACTGGGGCTGATGGGAGCTGGAGTCCAGCAACATCCAAAGGGCCACAGGTTCCCCACCATGTGTGCAGATCACTGTGGAAAAAGAAAGACTGTCACATAAATACACTTGCTTCCTCTGAGCACAGGTTCTGAGCAGAGGGCACCAATCTGCTCATCAC